GAATATTCTCAGTGGAGAGAGCGTTCTCGGGAACGGCACATCAATAGGTCTACCTCTGATAATATTCCTGTAAAGTTGTCCACCTTTGCATGACATAAACTATTATACAATATACTTTCAAAATAATTTAGATATTGGTGGAACAAGGGCATAAATGAACCCCTTCCTTGAAAAGAAAATTAATATAAAAAAAACTAAAAGCTTTTTATTCTTGCAAGCAATGCGCGTGAAAAGTATATAGTATATAGTTTATGTCATGCAAAGGTGGACCACTTTACAGCAATATTATCAGAGCTAGCTAGCTAGCTATATATATTAAATCCAATAAAAATCTTAAAATAGCTCTCCTGTAAAATTGCAAAAAGTGCAATTGTGCCCTTGTTCTACCGAAGGTGCGATATCTACTTATAGTTCCAAAATACTGAACTGTCCTACGCATGACATTGACAGTGGGGCGCCACCGTCANGTAAAACCAAAAATCGCATGTCTCTATCCCTATCACAACATTTGCTATGATCGTTTGAACAAAGGCCTGCCACAACATTATTCTCCGCTACAGGTAGAGACAATTTTAATTTTAACTAAAATGCTTATTTTACTTCGAAATCTTTTGTTTTTATTTGAAATCTAACTTGTCTTTATCAAAATTACAAATCTAGAGCCATTTTCAGTTTCGTTGTTAACAAAGCGTTGAATGGCGCGCCCGTAGAGGCTTTGTTCAAACGATCATAGCAAATGTTGTGATAGGGATAGAGACATGCGATTTTTGGTTTTACAAAAGTAATACGATGGAGAATAATAAAAAGTAATAAAAACTACCTGTTATGGGGGCATTTTTTGGAGAAATTTATCAAATAACCAAAAAATTACGAATTTTTAAGCAGATTTTTTTCAAAAAGTATCTTTTTTTATTATTTGTTGGCATTTTGAGGGTATTTTATGTATTTTTTTTGTATCGCCTGTTATTTAGCATTATTACTGTTTTTATTTTATCAGGATATACCGCTTAGTTTAAAAGTTATTACGTTTTCTTTACAATAAGTAATTGGAAGAAAAAAAATTCTATAAAAAATTTAAAAAAAATCTCAAAAATGTTTTGACCTCTTTTTTGTCGATAAAAATAGGTCTATTTTCGTCTATTTTCATATACGTACACTTTAACGTGACTCACACTGTATATAAAAATGAAACCCGTTTTCCGTTGTCACGACATAACATGAAAACGGCTTGACCGATTTGGCTGATTTTTTTTTGTAGTTTTCTAATACTCTGTACAAGGTTTTTACGGAAAAAAATATAAAGAAAATCTACGCTAAGGCGGTACGAAGTTCGCCGGGTCAGCTAGTATTATATAAAAACAAAAGGAAATTAGTAATTATTTTTCTACTTTGTAGTGTAGGTTTTTTGGAGTCGGTTTTATTTTTTTTTATAAAATTTTGCTTATTTCTTGCTTTTTAGTTAACTAATTATTACCTTGATGTTACCACTGAAGGTAGGCAGTACATTGACACCATATTCTTCATGTCTAGTGTAAATAATATTCCATACAAAATACAGGTTACCATATAGGAAACCTAAAAGACCTTAAACCGTCAGCCCACCTTAAAAACATGAAAGAATACAACTGTTGGTCTATTTGTTCGTTCGTTCGTTTCAGCCAAATGACGTCCACTGCTGGACAAAGGCCTCCCCCAAGGTTTTCCACAATGAACGGTCCTGCGCTGCCCGCATCCAGGCTCTTCCCGCGACCTTTATTTGTACTTATAATATTTAAAGTATTATCCTCCAACTCCTAAGCATTAAGAAGTTGTACCTACCATGACCAATTCATCATGATGAGATGATGAATATCTGATGTAAACACTTGAATAACTTTAGAAACTATACTTATCTATAAAATTAAAAGAATTATCCTCCAACTCCTAAGCATTAAGGAGTTTTACCTTCTATCATCAGCTCATCAATATGAAATGATGATTTCCAGGAGCAAATACTTGAATAACTTAAGAAAAAGTTTGAAACGTGCCTATAAAATTTGAGGGTTGCCCTCGATTTCCCTAGGATCCCATCATCAGATCCTGACTTGGTGACAATGGGACCACCTCAGAAGTGTACCCTATCGAACAAAAAAAGAATTTTGAAAATCGGTCCACAATTGACGGAGTAATCGGTGAACATACATAGAAAAAAAATAAAAAAATACATACAGTCGAACATATTATTAGTCCTCCTTTTTTGAAGTCGGTTAAAAATGAATCAAACGTCACTAGTTTTTAGGTTCAAATTCGACTGCTCTAGTGGACGCACGGAACGGCAACGTCGCAGTCGACCCACATTATTTGAATTATTTGGCGGGAAAATAGTTTTTGGCTTTTAATTCTGAAACTAAGAGGCCTAGAGATTTGAAATTATGTCTCGTGTGTACTTTAATTATAACGAATTATTTGATCTTTAAAACGCAACTCTAACTTATACGGTTTTAATAATCCACCGTGTGTTACGTGTCACCAGCTTACACATACATATCGGTTCGTAGTTCGAAAACGGTTCGAGATAAAGCTTTGAAAGATTTGAAGTCGGGTTTTTTTATTCGACTTTAATTTATGAGATATAAAACTTTGATGTAGCTTAAATATTTACGAAGATACAGATGTGTAAGCTGGAGACACGGTACTCCAGCTAGCACATGGTTTTTTGATCGTGGTTTTAACAGTATTTGAGCTAAAGTCTTGAAAATTGGAAAGCCTACTATTTGGATTTGACTGTAATTTTTGAGGTATAATACATTATCGTAGCATAAATATTTACGAAGATACAGATGTATCAGCTGGGGACACGTGTCCTCAGCTTACACACAGAAAACAACTCATAGTTATGAAGTTCTAATGGCTCTAATTGAATGACTGAGAGGTTTGATGACTCTAATTAGGCTTTTATTGATGGTATACTTGGAATTGCTCTAGGGCCAATGAGGAAGTTGGAGACATTCAGCCCCCCTAGACAAAACGCACTTTTTGATCGAATCGAAAATCGAATCCGTCAAATTCCATACAAAAAAGGGGCTTTTCGACCACTTTTCGACTGGTTTGCGATTATTATTGCACTTTGTCTAGACCCACAGGTCTTTTTTAATATGTTTTTTAACGATGTGAGTACATATAATAAGTAATAATTACGTGCTCTGTGCATGAAGCGACACGACACTCCACATANATTTACCCAAACCATAAGTTGAACGATGGTAGCGCCCCCCTGTCATTGAGTTTGGTGGGACAGTTCAGCGTGGGTCATCTATAACTCATTTTTGCTATTTTTGACAAATTGTGCCCTTGTTCTACCGAAAGGTGCGTTATGTTTTACCATAGGGGTCACTTAAAAATTAGGGATTGATGGTGAAAACGGGCATAACACAACTATCCTCCTTTACCTGAGGTTAACCAAGGTCACGTGGCCTAAAAGGTCAGTTTTGACACGTTTTAAAAAACAGGGCTCAAGGCAATGAAACCCGTTAATGACTGAGAGGTTTGATCATGAAGCTACAGATAAAAATGGAAGCTACACTCCGAATACCTACTTGAAGCACAAACTATGTATCACTATCTCGCTCTCTGTGGGCAGACTCTCTCTTTCTAAATAAACAAAAAATATAAATTTGCTTAAATTCAATGAAACTCAATAGAAAATCTTTATTTCTTGACATAGGTATCATTAAAAATGATAAGTTTAAATACTGGTAAAACGTTAAGACTGTAAAAAATGTGAAAAATGTTTACAATAATCCAATGTCGGAAATCACGAAATAAACACTTACGCGTGGAATCTTATGTCACTTCCAGGACACCACGTACTACCGCAACCACGCACTACAAAATTTTGCATCATTTCTTGTGATAAAACAATGATTATTTCCTGTAAACAATCTCAAACGAAATTAACTGCATAATAAACAAAATAGTTAACAACCGCCATGATGGGCTGGATTGGGCCGATGTTGCCACATGGTACCAATTCCCCAGGAATTGGGATTGTAATTCCCTGATTCGCCAACACATTAAACCTAAACGGCCGACAATTTTGTGATTTTTAATTCAACTAGGTAATCGTAGTTCAAATATTTAATTATTTATTTGTTTAACTTATGATTTGGTTAGTGAATTGGCTATTTCGAAGAATTTACTAGGAGATTTAAATCAGGAGATAGCAATACTACAGTTCACACTAAAAAGAGAGGTAGGGCCACAGAGAGCGAGATAGATATAAGTAGGTATTTGACTCAAGTTTTTGTTCCAAGTTTGCCCTCCATTTTTATCTTTAGTTTTATCTTTAGCTTCATGGGTTTGATGACTCTAATTAGGCTTTTATTGATGGTATACTTGGAATTGCTCTAGGGCCAATGAGGAAGTTGGAGACATTCAGGTTTTTTTTAATATGTTTTTTAACGATGTGAGTATAATACATATAATAAGTAATAATTACGTGCTCTGTGCATGAAGCGACACGACACTCCACATGGTTCTGAAAACAATAAATTGCAAATCTTAAGGTAAGCGTGGACTTATCTGACCCGGTGTTCTGTGGGCCCGGGCCCGGGCTCTCCAAAGCATGTTTGCTCTGGCGTTTTTATGTTTATAAAATTTTAATACACTCCGTAGTTGAAATAATGAATAAAAATTCGAAGCTTGTGGATTTGGTGTATTTTCTAGAGTTGAATGTCGTACTTAGCTTTCTAGAGGTAAGGTAATTAAGTATTTTTCATCCCCAGTACCACCAGCACAAGGCAAATCCTTATTTTATATAATGAATGATAGCCTATTGGTGAAACTGCTTAATAACCGATTTGTAAAAGTAAGAACAAAAGCACTAGCATTTATTAATCCATTTCAAAAAAATATGTTTCATTTTTTAACTGTATAATTATTGATTCCTTTGCTACTGAGTATAGACAATTTAATCTAAAAATAAAATCCAGTTGTCAAAAATGTTGACGGACATTGGACATGTTATTTTACTGTCATGCAGTGTGAAACATAAATAAAGCTAAATAGTTTTTACAAAAATCATGACTTAATACTGAGGCCTAAACGAATAATATGAAATATTAGATTTGAAAATACAACCATCCATTAAATATTTGTTTTAATTAATGACATTATGGATGGTTTAATTCACGCGGCATTGGAGGCAGAGGTATTTCACTACTTTCTTAATTTTTAATTACATTTATTTTGCGTAGAAAACATTTGATCAGTGCATGTAATTGTGTTATTAAACCTTTTGTTTCAGTTAATACTTAATCGAGCGAAACATGTGAATACTAACTCGTCACAATTTGACAGTGGTGTCCCAGACCATAAAATGACTTGGACTCATGATAAGATGCATCTGGCTGAGTCTGTTGATGAATCTAGAATGAAATTTCAAAGAAACTCTGTTGGCTCCAGTGCTTCTAAAGTGGAAAAGTTCGATTTGTTTAAGAAACTACATGAACTGTACACCGAGTTGAGTAGAGATGAAACGTCTCTGTCCAACTTTGTAAGTGCAATAATTAATGCTATTTATTAGCTTTTCAATCAGTTCTTAATTTGTATATTACTGGAATAAGAACCTCAACCTTATTTTAACCATATTGTTTGGTCTTGATATTTTTATTTATTTTGCACAGCAGTGTAATAGTAATATAAAAATAAAAGTTCAGTGAATGTATAAAATTATAATTTCAAAGTTTACATAGAATTGTAAAAAAATATGATAAGTATCTTAATAACTGAAAATGAGGATGAAATAGAAATATTCCTATGAAATAATCCTCTTTTTGCTTATACACATCCAAATAAATTCTTAAAAAGTCAGTTGCATGTATTTTGTAATACAGCCCATTTTATGTTTGTTATAAGATATGGTCTCACAAGGTTCTACTTGTAATAGTAAAGTAATTAACTTTTTAATTTAAAATATTTGTTGTTTCTAAGAATAATTTTATGTTATCTTACAAGGATGATAAGATAGACCACTCCCAGAACAGAACTTGAAGTATTTTTTGCAAATAATAATCATCAAGTTTTGTCTTGTCAAGTTGTTTGTGAAATTAAAATTAAAATTGAAAGTCCAAATGTAACATTTAAAACAAAATTGCTATTTATAATTGACTGAGCAGGTTGTGAACAGGTATATTATTATTTAATAATAATGTGTAAAAAAAAAATCAAATTTTTATTTTATATTCCTCTGATTAAATTAATGATGTAATTAGTGTTAAGTATTGTCTAAGATCATTGGATGTTATATGACTTGTTTACTATTGCAGCAAGGGTTAAAGACTACATCAAATCTACTGGAAAAATTGTTAGCCACTTATAATCTCAATACTCTGATAATTAATTTATACCCTGGCAATAAAGGATATTCTCTGTCACTTAAAGTGAATGGCAATACACAGTATCTCCACCCACCTGATGCTAATGTAAGTATAATCACTTAAAAAGATATTATCATTATTTTTAACGAACTACTTACTAGTTCCAAAATACTGGTTAAAATTGAATATAATATACAATATCTTTCCAGACGTCAGGAAGCCAGGACGAAACGTTAATAGAAACTCCTCGGTGGCCTTACGAAGAAGAAGAACTATTGAGCTACATTGACAATGAAGAGTTGCCAGTGGTGTTGCTAGACTTATTGGAGTCTGAACACTCCTGCCTGTTTTACTCCGGGTGCATAATAGCACAAGTGCGAGACTATAGACAAGCCTACCCTAGTTTCTTATGTGATACACATCATGTCTTGTTAAGACCCACCAATCAGGTAAAAAGGCAATCAGAATATGACTAATTGATACACATTTGTAACATAATAATAGTAAAATCTAAATCATAGCAATTCAAATTATTATCTTCTTTATCATAAATTAAAGAATTAGAGTAGACAATTATTTGAACTAGTCATGTCAATGAAATCATCAATCATACTATCTTAGAGGAAGGTAACCATTGTGACATGGCCTTAAAATTACTTAGCCTGAATATGTCTTCTACAGGGTGTTAGGTAAATGGGTATATGAGCCGACACTAGACGATGTTAACATGGTCATATAAATGGTATGGTGAAGTCAGAAATTTGATATCATCATTTTGATTTTTTTAATTTTCATACAAAATAAATTTTATAAAATCCGATTTGTATGAAAATTAAAATAATTAAAATGAAGATATCAATTTTCTGACTTCACCATACCATTTATATGACCATGTTAACATGGGCTAGTGTCTGCTCATATACCCATTTACCTAACACCCTGTATAAACGCCATTGGCCTTTATTAATACAGAAATTATGTGGTCTCTTTCACTGAATTTTCGCACGCTGCAAATTCTGACGTCACGTCACGTAGCCTTGTCTAACTTACGTCATTCTGCCGCAGAGTATATTAACAGACGCGATGTGTATCGGCGGGCGGTGCGGTTGGGCGGGCGAGGATCGCAGCGCCCTCGAGGCAGTCGAAGCGGCGTTGGTTCACGCTGCGGCGCCCCCGCTATGCCTCGATCCTAGGCCTGCAGTAGGCCTTCTAGCGGCTCGCTTGCACGCCGCCCCTCGTCTATTCAACACGCCAAGAATAAGGCGGCAAGCGAAAAAATTCTCGCAGGTTGGTTTCAAATAGAGATGATAACACAGGTGTTAAGAAGGCGCTATTTTGTAACAAGTAAAAGTAACAGGTAAAGTAACGCATGATAAGTATAACCCGGTCGAGTTAACTACGCACCTGACAGCCGTGACGTCACATCGACGCTATGGTACGGACGGGGCAAACGCGTTGCTCGTGCGCTGTTAGCTCGATTGGGTCTTATCAGATTTTTTTTTGTATAAACATTAGGAACTTTTTATGGTTGTTAAATTTATGTTGCCTGGAGTGTTTAAAAAAAATATTGTTTCAAGGTTGCTGTGAACAGGAAGAGAAAATTGGATCAATTCACTCACTATCACGGATTAGAGTTGCTCGAGCTAATTCACAGGCAAAGAGCGAAAAATAGCCGGCAATCAGTACCTCACACTAGACTCACATCTAAATACCCGAAGAAACCACCAGAGGTACACATATTTTGCATTTTAGAACAAAGTATAAATATTTCAAATAATTTAACGTTTATTTCTGTGTTAAAACACTACGAATTCCGCAGGTATTCAAGCCAATAGAGCCACCGAAAATGGATTCTCTATCGCTAGCTATGCCTTCCGAGCTCACTGGTCCAATACGATTGGCGCGGGCCTATGAGCGCCCGCGACCAACTCCTGACTGCCAGCCCCAATTAGTTGAAGAGTACATTCTAGAAACTGAGAAAACGTCACCACACGCTGGCGCGGGCTTCTTCCACATAAAGCTCTCAATACTGCAGAGACCGTCCGATCAAGAGTTCCTGGGAGAGTTGTATGTGGACAGAGATCACGTTGAGGGCGAAAGAAATGGCGCCGCGTGTCGGTTTACCTTAGGTTTGTAAAGATTTAGGGCGTTCATATAACTATCCTCTCCTTGAGTTGTCTGGAAGAGATCGCTTCCTAACCATAAGACCGCTTAAAATGTACCACTTCGATTTTATCTTTCTTTCTATTTATCAGTTTTGTGCGCTATGAAATAATATTTTTTATTGCATCTATAAAAAATATGAGATGACAGTTGAAACATTTTATTTATCAACTTTACAGGATCAAGAGTTCAAGCAAACAAGTACATACAACAGTTCACGGAGATATTTACAGAAGAAGGTCGTAAGTCAGTTAGGATAAAGCATATTGTGCCAGGACAGTTGCCAAGAGTCTCTTTCACTGGTGGCATGAGAGAATTGGTAAGTAACAATTTACAAGAGAATATATGATGTATTCCTGGGTGTTAAGGTCGCATTTAGCGATCGGTAGAATTACGGTGATGTTTAAAAACTAATGTAATATACAGGGTCAGCAATTATTGCTGCAGCAAAGATCTTCAACCGCCACAAGTGCGACAGTTCAAACGCACGCCACAACTGTGCCGATCGTGTGAGTACAATATTTGTTTCCAGAAACCAAATCTACGGAAATTGTAATACATAAGTCACAAAAATTTATTACCTGATTTAAATCTTTCTGAAATAAAATATAACTTGGCTATGCTCACATAACATACACACAAATGAACACGGTGCTTAGATTAAGTATCACATAACCTACAATATTTTCTTTAATAAGTTAGCAATAAAATTAAATGTTTGTCCACAGGACATCGGCAATAGCGGCAACTCCGAATACTCATACCAATGCGCGTCAGTTACCTATCCTGGTTAGTATACAAACAATTTCTCTTTGTCTGATTAACAACAAAAACATATTTTTAAAGAATTTGAACCTTATTTTATCTTAATAAAGTTCAACATATGGTAGCAACGAAATACCCGTTCTTTGAACGAGCTAAATGCTTAATCAACTGGCTAATTGTTTTCTGAAAAACATTTGGTGCCCTAAAAAGCGTCATTATCACCAGCGGCGGCGTAGCATGGGTTGGCACCCGGGGCGCCAGTGAGTACTAATCTGCGCGACTTGTGTCACTCCCTGATGCTTAGCACCCGGGGCGGACCGCGAATTTTCGAGTTATTTGGATTGGTTTTTTTATTTTTCAAAAACAACTTTCTACATACTTGGTCATTCCTTACACTATCTTCTCATTATGTTTGGCACAGTTTTCTTCGGTCACAATCTTTTTAGGACACCCTGTATTCAAACAATCGGTGGTAAGCACCACCACGGTAAGATCATAAATCTAACGATCGCTTATTCCAGCAGGCACAACTTCAGCAAGTTGGCAGCATAGGCACCGTGACTGCAGTCGGGAATGTAGTGGGCAGTGTGGGTGCTGTGGGCACCGTGGCCAACGTGGCCAGCGTTGGCAGTGTGGGCAGTGTGGGCAGCGTGGGAAGCGTGGGCAGCATTGGCAGCGTTTCCGCCGAGTCTGCACTGAAGCAGCAACCGTCGCCGAGCACGCCGCGTTTGTCGCCGCAGGTAATTATAATGGGACTCTTAGCATTATGTCTACTACACTGGTGGGTATTACTTTTATTTCAAGGGAATCTACTGACTTCATTATCAAAAGACTGCCCTTGCCTACATATTGTAGGGTGTAGCTAAAACGTTAGTTATTTCATCATTGGTTATCTGCCTAGTCCTTGAAGTATGTACAAGATAGGTTGAAGAACTCCGCTAACACATTCATTATTATCGACCAACAAATGTCAATAAATGTAGGCCGGAGTATAGCTTAGCCGCAAATAGCTTTGGTAGGATTATGTGCTAAGGTTTTTCAAAACTTCATAACCATTCTTCAGCAGTAACAGTGACATTATTGGTCTATTTTTTTATCTTTTATAAATTATGATTACCTATATCTAATCAATCACTCATCCTTTGTTAGTTTGGTTTCAATAAATCTCAAATTGTACATCCTAACTATAGTCCCGGTTTTGTAAAGGGTTTACTTCTTCCCAGGTTCACGACATGCATTCGTCGCAGGCGTCGACAAACCAGCTGCTCGCGCAACAGTTAACGAACCCACCGCAGCCGCTGAATCCACAGAAGATGCAGTCAGCTATCATACATATTCAGCATCCACTCATATCCACCGCTGGCACCTCACAGGTATAGTATTGTATCATCATCATCATCATTTCAGCCATAGGACGTCCACTGCTGAACATAGGCCTCCCCCAATGATTTCCATGTTGATCGATTGGAAGCGGCCTGTGCGATAGTATTGTATCTTGTAAGTAGTAAGTAATATGGACTTTATGGGTCGCCTTTAAGGTCTTATATGGCCTCTGACAGCTTAACGTGACCTCTGAAGCACAGAATCATGGATTTTCCTCGGACACGCCTTAACTTATACATGAATAAATACAGAAAATAACTTTATTTAATTTCAAAAGATAGTGAAGATTTAGGATTAGTCGCTAGGTCAGTTTCAACAGATCTGTACTAAGTCAGAACAGTTTAACGTAATTGAAGTTGTAATTATGTTTAATTATTGGTGAATTTATTGAATACTGCCTCAATTAGTTTTATTTACATTCCAGTCCTAATAAAAACTAAAGCAATTGCTTAGATTATGTATGTATTCTAAGCCATATCACATGGGTAAGTTGAGTAATATTTTTGAACATTGCAGGTACAAAATATCCAGTACACAAGCAGTACAACGGGCCAACAAAAGGCGACAATCACAAAGCCACGGACGACGAATCCCGCTATAAGCGCGCTCGTCACCAGCCTTATGAATTCAGCACAACAGTTTCAGCAAGGTAAGCGTAGGAAAATATACCCTATGTCAATTATATAGAACACTACCTTCGCGAAGCTTCGGTCCATATCATAGTTTTTTCTATTGATAGAGCTGTTCAGGATTTCAAATAAGAGTCCTTTTTTACATAAGGATTAGTTTAATCTTCATATGTGCTGCGTTTACAATGGTAAAATGTAGAAAAATACGAGCTACTCGCTCGAGGATTCGATCCAAAGGTAAAGATGGCCGGACGACGCGCTAGTGATGTCCTTTACTTCCTGTTTGGAGGCATTGGCGATAGTGACGTCCGGCGCGGGGTGAAAAAAGGTTGTAAGCGCACTGCGCGAACAAGAGCAATACATGTTGGATGCTTATCAGATTTTCAGTAGGAAGCTATTTACAGTATGGTTGACGGTACATGAGATAAATCACACTTGTTACAACTACAGTAATTATTAGGTACTTATGAATATAAGCACCAAAGATCCATATGGATCTTTCTTTGGTGATATTATCACCATTATACTTTGCATGAAAATATCTCAAATTAATATTCCTTTTATGTAGGTCTTTCTCAGGACACTTATCTTCTACGCAAATACCGCAATAATTACCGCATTTTTATTTGTCTATTTAGCGCCATCTAGTGCCAAACAAAAACTTGTTCTACGGATGTGCTTCTAAAAACCAATATTTTACAGCAAACGCGAACGCAGCAAAGACATCAGTAACCACAGCAGGCGGCAACAACGCCACGATATTGAACCTTCTGAACAGTGCGCCGGCGGCGATGACACATGCTACGTCATCGGCGGACAACACTATCGACGCCCACAAGTTGCTGGGCCGAGTGTCAATAGCTGGGGCCCGGCTTATAGCAGCAACTACGGCTTCGCATACCCTACCCACTTATACTCAGCAGGTAAGACTTAAATACCAGGTACACTGGCTTATGACGTCATATAAATCAGCGCGATTTAAAACAATATTCTATGTGATTTTATAGAAAATATTGGATTTTATCTGGCACTTAATAGTAGCCATTCAAAGTTTCCATCACACCTTAGCTGTTGTCATAGATAGACATCTGTTATTCTTATGTTGGCAGCATGGCTGCAATGCCAACCTACCGACCTATTATCTCGTAAAGTATAGATTACGAGCGTCTGGAATAATGAAAGCTAACAGTAGCTTAACGTCATTATATTTTTGTGTACATGAATCAAATTACATACATTATGAAGATTACACGCAATAGATTAGCTATCAAGCATTTTACAACACCCTAACAAACTTATTATGTATGGATATAAAGACTAAACAAAGCCACCTGTGTTACAGGGAGTCGGTGTCCAAGTAATGAGCGGGTTCACGCGCGACAACGACCAGACAAACGTGTCGTCTAGCGAGAGCGCGTTGCTCGAACGGCTCATAGGGAACGAGCCGTCTGGCTCGCAGCCACAACCTGTTTGCCACTTACAGGTAAACTAATTACAGTTCAAAATAGCCTAGCAATAAGCTAGATAAAATTTCAATTATTTGTCCGTCAAAGAGATAATTAGAAAATATTAGACTCATATTTTTTATTTTCTTTTATAATTAAATAATAACAGTGCTACATCAAATTGAAACGGCGCGTTACGTCATGCTTCAGTAGATTTTTTACTCAAAAGTGACGTCACGAGACATTTCAACTCAACATAATACTATAATGATTATGAAAAAAATTTAAAAATATGTGTCTTAAATTTTTTCATTATCTGTCTGACGGACTAAATAGAATTTCGATTTCATTACCCAGTCATCATCCCTATTGTATTACCTATAATGTAAAGTTATTATTAAGATTTTCCATGCTATGTGTGCCTATGTAAAGTTATTACGGTTCTACGAATATAACTTTTGAAGTCTTTTTTAGGATTTTTATTTGAATAATACAGGACGTAATGATTTAAAATTAATTGTAACATTATTAATAGGGTGTGTGCGAATCACAGTGCACATAGTGGTGCATACTATTATGTCCATAACTCTCAAGGTTTCGACTTTGGTATTAGAACAGCATCTGTAATTTTTTTGACTCCTTATTTGGTGTTAGATGGTTTTATAGTTGAACTTAAAACAGGCCATTTTAATATATATCTTCCACATTTCTAGCTTTTGGACAAATTTACTTTAAAAAATGTTATTTTCCTTGTAAACGATATCGATCTTATCGGTTATTCGATACTTTAGGCATTAATAGAGTGCGACGCTATCAAAAAACCTCACCTAAACTACACCTTATTTCCAGGGCTTAAGCTTAGCATCGCTACAAGGGCTGCAAGGTCTGCAGAACGTGCAAGTTCAAATCCCCGGGTTCTCGGCGCCTATATCTTTATCACTAAACGTATCGGGCGCTCCCAGTGGATTGTTGGTGTCGGTGCCGCCTACCACGTCTGTTGTGCTGGCTAACCAGCCTTCTGTGCTGTCGCTGCCTATCGGTAAGACTCAATTTATAACAGCTATAATTAGTATTTTATACATCCACGGCATATGGTACTAAGAGTAGATATTATTTGACATAAGCTTCATTTTTGTGAAATAACCTTCGTTGGTCTCATGGAACATCTGTTTCTTTGTCTCGCCTGCTATCTTCCAATGAGGTATAAAGAACTTACAATTTCAGTCAGTTCAGAAAAAATACGTATAGATTTGTAATTCAGTTAGTTCAGTCGATATCAGGCGGTGTGACGGAAATTTATTATTATTTCATTTCATTTCACATTAGATCATGTCGAGAGGGGCTGGGTCGATCAAACGATTTACATTCATTTGTAATTCATTGTAACAACAATGTTAACTATCCATTGCCTGTCATGTCGTCTCGTTCTATCGCAAAGAATCACCATTTGATGAGAGTGAGAGCAAAAACGGAAATGGATAGTTAACAGTGTGGCCGTGTGTACAGCATAGTTCATATTGGGTGGTGTTAGCCTTCAAATTAGAGGCGCAAGAGGAAGCGTTGCTGTGGCGCCACTCTGTTTTCATTGTCATGGCAGTGGCGCTGCGACTATAGCCCGGTCTCCGAGTACGTAGAACTTTGTCCAATGACCCCAAGCTACCCATCCTTATCGCTCGAGCGTAATTATATTGCTGTTGCGCTCGCACAATCACTGCTGCCGCCCGTCGCACAGTCGCGCAGCCACCGGACGGAAGAATCTGCCCGAGAAGAAGCCCGGGTAATGAGCGTGAAGCTCGAGACCCGCACCGGCCTAACAAGCCGAAGAAGCCAGGATCGATCGACGTGCTCGGCGACCAGACTTTAGTTTGAAGTCACCCTTAAAGTCACGGTTCTTTTTGATTGACGTTCACTTGTCATTTCAGCCCAGCTGATGTCGGGCGGCGTCAAGGGCGCGGTCCGCGGCGGGTCCGTGCAGGTGGTGCGTGGCACGCGCGCGCCACGGCCGGTGGCGCGGCTGGCGGGCGTGGCGCCGGCCGCGCGCCCGCACGCGCTCGCGCCGCTACAGCCAGCCGCGCCGCACGCGCACCACGCGCCGCATGCGCAGCCCGCCGGTAAGTACCATCAGAGTAAATACAAATTCAGTAGGTCATCTTCATAGAAACGCACCGAGCGCGGTTTGTATGTGAGCGCGCCAATACGTATGCGGCGCGCACGCACTAGAGATGGGTTATACTAGGTAAATGGCAATGCCAGATTTTGTATGGAAAGTGGCGTCTTCTTTTTTTCGCGCGGCCATCGACCAAACCTTGTTTTTTGATTACAAAATAGTGTAATAAACCAAACTTACTATGACATGTATACCTCTAAACTCAGTCTGAACTGAGTTACGAGCATTAGAAGTTTGATGATTTTCATACTAGATTTGCTTTTTGCGCGCAAGTTTTGTAAGAAAATGCAACAAAATAGTGACATAAGACATTGTATGTGTAAACAAACAATACCATCCATTAAAGGCTCCAGACATCAGTATGCAGCAGAATCAGCGCAATAAAAAAATAGTGCAATATTTTGTTGCAATTTCTTACAAAACTTGCGCGCAAAAAGCAAATCTAGTATGAAAATCATCAAACTTCTAATGCTCGTAACTCAGTTCAGGCTGAGTTTAAAGGTATACATGCCATAGTAAGTTTGGTTTATTACACTATTTTGTAATCAAAAAACAAAGTTTGGTCGATGGCCGCGCCAAAAAAAAAGACGCCACCTTCCATACAAAATCTGGCATTGCCATTATTCTGTTATATGTTACCATAGGGGACACTTAAAAATTAAGGATTGATGGTGAAAACGGGCATTATTCACGTAAAACAGGGTACTCATTTAGCCGTGTAGCATGTAATGTATCAGATACTGTATCAAGTGAGTACTAAGGCACGAGCCCGCTGCGAGCTGCTCGCGCGTGGTTCGCAGGGAGATCGCAGCGACCCGCCGAGTGGCGGTATCACTGCGAGCACAAAGGCGGTCGATGCACAGCCAGATACGCGATGACCGTGGACGAACCGTACTCACTTGAAGGTTGGTTACGTTACATGCTACGTTACGTGCTACATGGCAGGTGAGTAACCTGACAAAGATAGACCAGTGTTCCGCAAACTTTTTGTGTTCAATGTGGTCAAAACTAATTCTTTTGGAGGTACACCACAAATTGAAATCAGTTTTTAAGTTATTGGCTTTAATATACTCGGCGCAAAGACTCGTGGCAGGCGATGTCATAATAAAACAGTGCATATCACGTTTGCTCTTGCACACACTGGTTATGGGTGACGTCACACAGAGGCAGGCATAGCGTTGTTCATAATACGTAATAATTAATAAAATTTTGGCGAGTGTGCAAGTGCATCTCTGTTTCAAAAATTACTTATGACCCCGCCTACTGCCACGGGTCTGCGTCGAGTTTAATCTTACCCTTCGTAAGACTACCACAGATTAGCTTGTCCAGCCAAACTAGGATGTATGCCGTGATAAAATCTTATAGATGTTTTTTTAGACGACAAATGTATAGGGTTATCGCGTAAAATCGATAAAATGGCGCGATGAAAGCTTATCGAGGTGCGTATCCTAAGCCTACTGATCATGTCGACAACTTTTTCTCGTACCGGAGGCAATAACGGTGTCCCTAGTAGTTCGACTCTAGGTTCCCGCAATTAGCATGCGCTCGCGTCGCTACAACCCGCCAATACCTACCTACTTAACGTTAAATCTTATCTACGCGTTATTTATCACGCGTTATACGCGTGAATTACGTGCGTGCGAAAAGTTGTTCACTTGCGACTATTATGTCCCGTTCTGGACGTAACAACAGTGTCCCTAGTACTTCGACTCTAGGTTCCCGCTANATCTAAACCTGATGTTGAAATTTAGTGAAGACAGCAAGTCTGGAGCATCAATAGATGAGTGCACTATTTTGTGAAGACAGAGTAAGTTGAGTTTGAAGTCACCCTTAAAGTCACGGTTCTTTTTGATTGACGTTCACTTGTCATTTCAGCCCAGCTGATGTCGGGCGGCGTCAAGGGCGCGGTCCGCGGCGGGTCCGTGCAGGTGGTGCGTGGCACGCGCGCGCCACGGCCGGTGGCGCGGCTGGCGGGCGTGGCGCCCGCCGCGCGTCCGCACGCGCTCGCGCCGCTGCAGCCCGCCGCGCCGCACGCGCACCACGCGCCGCATGCGCAGCCCGCCGGTAAGTACCATCAGAGTAAATACAAATGAGTAGGTCATCTTCATAGAAACCACAAAATATAACAGAAGGTAAACTCCATACTAAGCGCGCTCGAGCCACGCACACATAAACGCGTTATCAAGCAAGACTGTCTTGGACGAATGCGAGGCGCGACTGCGTTCGCTTGAGTGACGGTGCTTACGCGTTTGTAAAATTATTTTGTTTGTGCAAAAATGAGTGAACAACAAAAAAGGGGTATTATAACATTTACATAGTTATTTAATTTTTTAGCGTTAAGAGTCGCATCTCAAACTAATTTGAAAATTATAAATAACTTGAAAACTAACTAACTCCCGCCTTAGGCAGTTCGATTTTTCAAGTTATTTATAATTTTCAAATTATAACATTTGTTAAGTAGACGGTTGTTTACACTCAACATTAAAAACTAAATTTTCGTTTTTTAAACTACCAGTTGATTCCGGGAGGTAAGTAAGGTACATATTTATTTGTATTTCAATAGTTCGTTTAACGTTGACAAATCGAATTTTATTTATGAGGTTTTAGGAATTATTGGATAATAGTGTCAACCACTCAACCACATACTACTACCTTCTCATGTATTTGTTTGCAAACTATTACTATAATAACGTACTAAACATAACTACATAATTATAAGTGGATATCTGTTATTATCTTTCTTCCATAGTATTAAGAGTTACATTTTTCTATCATAACGAAATAAACGCAACACATGACAAGACAACCCTAGCGCGACGGCCGAGCGTGCGAGCGAACGAGGTATGCGAAGCGAGGTACATACATGAGTTTACCTTCTGTTATATTTTGTGTAGAAACGCACCGAGCGCGGTTTGTATGTGAGCGCGCCAATACGTATGCGGCGCGCACGCACTAGAGATGGGTTATACTAGGTAAATTTGATACTAAATTCAAATTATTTATACTAGGTGTACCTATTCCTAGTATTTATTAATACTCGATCCAAATACCTATTCCACCTAGTACGTAGTAATTTAGCATACTTGACGCGACTAGTGTGGACTAATCCACGTAATATGACTTTAAAATACATTTTTTTTTAAAAGATACAACCGTAGTATGAATAATGCAATTTGAAATTGAATAATAATTCCTCCCTTCATACTTCAACGGGCTTAGGACTGTCAACTTAAAAGTTGGCGTATTTAAAAGTATCAATTTCATAAAAATATTTACATATTTTTTCTTATTTACATGAATATGGTTTGACTACGTTTGTGTGCATTTGCTTCGTCGCGCTCAAATTAGTTTGGTCAGACAGAGACGGAGTGAATCTCTACGTTCGCACATAAGCTTAGCGAGAAATACTAGGTGCGTGTAATACACGACTACGGATTACGCAATAATAACCTCTATTACTTTGAAGGTAGGGTCGGAAATCGTGGAATTTATAAAATACTAGGTGGATCAAGTATTTCAAAAATTGGAATAGGTGCCGCCTAGTACTGTAAAATACCTAGTGTGTGGATCTGTTCTAGTAAATACGTCTCATCTCTAGCACGCACACACTGACAAAATTTAGCGTGGATTAGCGGGGAGTTGCGCCGAATTTTGTCAGTGTGTGCGTGCGCGCCGCATACGTATTGGCGCGTTCACATACAAACCGCACTCGGTGCGTTTCTATGAAGATGACCTACTCATTTGTATTTACGTACCATAGACCAATGTTCCGCAAACTTTTTGAGTTCAAGGTACATCTAGGACATTGGTTCCCAAACATATTTGAGACGCGCCCCCTTTCGACCATACAAAAAATTCCAAAATTCCGCGCCCCCCCTCTTCCAGTCAAGATTATTTATTGGTCGTATCGAGCAGTCTAGAATGCATTCTTGCATTTATACTTAAGTACACAGATGGCCCGCGCCCCCCTTTAAAGGTCTTTACGCCTCCCCTGGAGGGCGCGCCCCCCAATTTGGGAACCAATGATCTAAGAGAACAATTTTTTTTGGCGATACACCATAAACCAGAAATCAGTGTTTAAGTAACCTTTATTAATCTTACCCTTCGTTCGTTCGTTCGTTTCAACCGAAAGACGTCCACTGCTGGACAAAGGCCTCCACTTACTAAAAATACGTTTATAAAATAATCTCACTTTTCCGAGGGACATCATCTAATGACCAATGTACACAAGTGTGCCGATGTACACACGTTGCGGAACACTGTCATAGACTACCACAGATTAGCTGGTCCAGCCAGGCTAGCATGCGAAATAAAATTTTATCGATGTTTTTGGATGACAAATGTATAGGGTTATCGTGTAAAATCGATAAAATGGCGCGATAAAAGTTTATCGTGATGCGTATCCTAAGCCTACTGATCATGTCGACAACTTTTTCTCATACCGGACGCAATAACGGTGTCCCTAGTAATTCGACTATAGGTTCCCGCAACTAGCTTGCGCTCGCCTCGCTACAACCCGCCAATACCTACCTACTTAACGTTAAATCTTATCTACGCGTTATTATCACGCGTTACGCGTGAGTTACGTGCGTGCGAAAAGTTGTTCACTTGCGACTATTGTGTCCTGTTTTGGACGTAACAACAGTGTCCCTAGTACTTCGACTCTAGGTTCGCGCAAACTAGCACGTGTGTTAGCTACAGAAATGGAAAATGCGACGACTTTAAATAAAACTATGTCGGCCGCTTGGTGTAGTGGTTCAGAACGAACTACTATGCCGAGAGGTCCCGGGTTCGATTCCCGGTCGGGCAGAAATTGAAATGATGAATTTTAGTTTCTGTGACGGGTCTGGGTGTTTTCTATGTATAATATGTAGGTATATATTTACAAAAAAAAAGTGTAAGTATGTTTATATCCGTTGTTTAGTACCCATTACTACAAGCTTTGCTTAGTTTGGGGCTAGCGGCGCAGTGTATATTTATTATTTATTTATTTACTATATTCTAGATCACATTTATAAAGCCAGGTAACAGAATATAGCAAAAACAAGATGGCTAACATCGTTGCTAGGCTGCAGTCCATAGACCATGGCCTAGCACCGGTGTTACCAGATCTGTCGCCAACAACGTGAGTCACGGTATGTACCACATCACTAGCATTCGAGTTAATGTCATTAAAGGCTTCCACAGACCAAACGCAGGTCAGAAGCAGTGCGGGTCAGTTGCAGCGCGGCTGAGGCACACTGAAAGCAGCGCAGTTTCAAAGCAGTTGCAACGCGGGCGGTTGTCAAAAAATTCAATATTCGTTAACCGCTTTCAACGCGCTGCTACCGCCCTGCGTCCGGTGTGTCATGCTAATATGGCCGCCATAGTAATACAACAGCGCGGGCCCGCGTTCGCGCCGCTTCTGTCCCGCACCCGCGCCGCCTCGTTTGTCATTCGGCAGTTGCAGTGCGGCGCGGTAGGAGCGCGGGCCCGAGTTAAAATTTGGTGTGACACACTTCAAATAGTTTCTTGTATTACAACTTGCGCGGGCCCGCATTCAAACTGCGCTGCTACTGCCCCGCGTTTCGTCTGTGGAAGCCGTAACTGTTGTATGTTTACGTTTTTTTTTTATTTTACGTATTATTCTACAGTTAACAAAATTGTCGTTGCAGGTACGACGCAATTCATCACCCAGGCGCAGGCGCAGGTGCTGAACGCGCACCAGGTGAGGCGGAAATCTAACACGGACAGTTCATAGTGAACGCTGACCGTAGCTCACTGCCGCTCTAGTGAAATAATGTAAATAAACCATAGGTAAATTATTATCGTAGGCGTAATACAATTACAGTAACCGTATATGGAGCAACGACAATTTAATACGCTGTAACCGACTACAGGACTAACCACGTAAAGACTACCACGTTGTATGTTGAACTTTTTTATCATTGATTACAAAATATTCTTTGGTCAATACCGAAATTGATAGTAGATTACGATATGTATTTTCTTACAATGAACTTAGTTTTGTTTTTAATCATGTAATGTTACGAACTATATTGTTTATGTATACGTTTCACAATCATGTATTTTTTTATTTTATTTGAACGTCACAAATTATAAATATCAACATGTAAATTAATTTTACTTCAGCTGACATTAGAGGTATTCGCATCATGACATGAAATTGTGACTAAATTTAAAGTGTTATACGTATTTAGTGAACTAAAGATGTTGAGAGATACCAATATATTATGACTAGTGAAGATTTTTATTTGTTGTTAGGAATGTGGTCTGTAAATATAATTGTTAATGGTTTATGAAAATTTTAATTTCGCATGCGCTCTTAATTACACAAAGACCGAATTTAATATAAATAACGTGATTCGTTTATAAATTGGTACTTAAATTTGACTTCTGGACTAACTCCCGTTATAGAATCTGACTGCAAGCTATTGCTAAATCAGTATTAAAAACACATCGGTTGTTGAGAGCTGACGATATTTCTTGGAATCAATAAAGTACAATGTCTTCATAGTGATTCGAGAATCTGTTTAGATAAGTTGTAAATATGTATCATATGTAGAAAAAGCGTTGTAAGCATCACAAGTAAGGGATAGTTGATGGATATTTGGATTTTGGTTTGTGGGGTCAATGACATGTTTTGTGGTTTTCGGTGTAGCTTATTTATGTCCAAAACTTTTACAGAAAAGGCTAATTGGGGTTCCATTGTACGTATCGCATGCATCCGTTAAAATGTTACTTATATTATTCTCCAAATATAGAAATCACGAGAAACAGAAAATATCTTAACACAGTGTAACAAATTATTAACTGAATATACAGGGTGGAAACGATAAGTGATCTCACTCGATTATTTCTAAACTATACAAGATATCAAAAAACTAGTTACTGATCCTGAAAGTGCTTCATGAGCTCCATCAAACGGTATTAATAATAGGTTACAGAATAAACTGGATCTATCAGAAAATTCAATGTTTCCAGCTTCCATACATTTGGTAAAGTCACATTATTTTAAAAACTACAAATGATACCGTAAAACTGATTACTGATTCTAAAAGTGCTTCACAAGATCTATCCAATGGTATCAATAATAGGTTACAGAATAAACTGGATCTATCAAAAAATTCAATGTTTCCCTCTTCCATACATTTATTACTACCACAGTCATGACACTCATCTCTGCACAATATTATAGCAAGTAAAGCCTAAAACCAATGTTTTCCATGAATAATTTTATTTAAGAATACAATTTACGAGTTTATTTTAAGAGTTTATTATTTAATGAAAAAAATTACACTTCTAATATTGTGTGTCTGGCATACATTTAGTATGGAAGCTGGAAATATTGACTTTTCAGATAGATCCAGTTTATTCTGTAACCTATTATTGGTACCGTTTGAAAGAGCTCATGAAGCACTTTCAGGACCAGTAACCAGTTGTTCAATATCTTGTATAGTTTAGAAATAATCGAGTGAGACCACTTAACGTTTCCACCCTGTATAGTTTACATTTTATATTTTATATGATTAGCCTATTATGAAAACACATACCTATTGTTGCGTATGTTTCATAATGGAACCCTCAAAATGACTGCCATGGGAACAATAAATTTATTTTCAAAACTCAATGCAATACAATACAAATCGGATGGTTGTACTATGTAGTTCAGTTAAGCTAAGATGTAATTATCTGCATAATATCATGTACAATATTGTATAGAGTTTGAATGAAACGGGTCTAGATAGATTTGGTTTTAAAGATTCTTAATAAATTGCTTTGAATCGCGTATCGGAAGTAAATTAATTCGGTAAAAAAATGTACCACGCGACTTCTTAATGTTAAAGCCGTTCATTGTAAAATACGTAGAGTGAGAACTAATGAGCATAGATAGAGGCCTGGGGTGTTGCCAGTTAATAAATAGCGTTATGTACAGGAGACTATGTATGCCATAATTATTACATATCTATATATTTGTTTAAACATTATATTGGTAGAAGTGTCTTAACTAAATACTGCCTATCGTTGGTAACTGTTAATATTACTAGTGATAATCACTTTATAGCTAATAACCCGTTACTTTATCGATTAACTCTTAGCAATACCGGAAAGACTAATGCAATATTTCAAATATATTTAATATAGACTTTAGTTCAGAACGTGTTATAAGAAATCTATTTTTGTATGTTCTGTTTTCACTAAATATGCTTGGATACAGTTTTGACGGTAGGAGTAGAACTAATTGCTTGAACTAATAGGGTAGAAAAATGAACACCGATAATTACGTAAGTCCAAATAACTGATATATTATGATAACTTCTAAGGAATTGCTGTTAAATATTTATCAAACCTGCTAAATTTTTTAAAGTTATTGTAGCTTAATGCTATATAAATATTCATATATAAAGATATAACTAAAATGACGGTAAACACATATTTAATGAAGATCCTGTACAGACTTGCCGACGTCCTATGGTCTGTAGAGTTTGGAGGATTAAAATAAATGAAAACGTTAAAATTATATTTTGGCAATTCCTATTGTTCATTGATTTAAAAGTTTCCTGTAACAGCAGGCCATAAGACCTCGGTAGGCCTATGAATGTAGTATAATTTGTTTCTAGGTGGTGATGCTGAAACCATTTGTGTTTTTACGAGTTAAATGTTTTAAAATGACAGGCTTTTTAAGAATGATGATTTTTAAAGATTACGAGGACAAGTTGTTTAATAAAGTTTGACAAGTGTGGGCAGATCAAATAAATAGAATGGTAATCAGCTCTTTCACCTAAAGAAAAACTTGGCATTGTGGCAAGTTATTTGATGATGGAAAAATTGGCCAAAAAATCAATACTGTCAAAACTATAGTTAAACTTCAGTTTTCTTTTTTTTCCTAAGCTCGCATCACTCAACCGTGAAGAGACGGTTTTGTAAAGATGCACAGTAATTGATCTTTTATTTTGATTATGCTCAACTTACCATTATGTCCTCTAGCAAATGTCACTAAGCTGCTTCAGCTTGCTTATTAACTACTAATTTTATCATTACTACTTCAGTGTTATGTGCGCAGATTCTGCTGTTCCATTATAGATACTGTGTTTTATTCCTCACTGGTGGATAACAAGATACAGCTGTAAAATTTAGAAGTGTCAAACTGAAATATGTCATTTTACGCCATAATACTGTAGTTAATCCGCTCTTTATCGTTAGTTAAAATATTACATTGTTTTTGGGACTATAATGATTGTATTCCCAGTATTTACATAAGTCATCTATTATAACTTTATTTCTTTATATCACCCTGTATAGCTTTTTAGTTTGACACTACAATGTGTTTACCATGAGTTTACGTTAGGTGTGCTCGCTAGCGACTGCGTAAAAATATGTCATTAAATATTATGACATATTGTGCAGCGCCCCTAGTGGCTAATTTCATGAAATAAAATGTTTGACGTACTCGCTAGCGAGCACACCTAACGTAAACTCATGGTAAGCACACAGATTTTACGGTTTCATTATAATAATGGTGCAACCGAATCGGCAACTTTGTTTATTGATTTTTAGCGGTTGTTTGTTTTATCCTATAGTTGAACCTCATTGGTAGATTAGTCAATTTTAATATTTTCGCAATCATAACGCCAGACAAGAGTGATTTAATAATGCAACGATTATATGAATTTCTCTGATGCTATTTATACTACAGTTTTAATATTTTAGTGAATGATTGTTATAATTACCGCGACATGTTATACTGTCATACGCACAATTATCTTGTTTCATAGAATATGTTACCTGCCAAAATAATATCGCAGACATGTTACATGTAAAGTCATGAACATTTTGTGTTCTATATTTTAATGGATATTGTGTACCTATACTGTTGCTGTAATTAATGATACTTGATATCAGAAATGTGTTCAAATAGGCATTCTATGATATGCCTAGTTAAATATTATTGTGCTTTGTTTTTCTATTTAGAATATTTCCTGGGCATTTGATAAGTAGCGTGAACATATGTTGCCGAGTTATTATTACTACTGTTGCATTGCATATTATGAACTTTTAGTATGTGAGTAATTGTGCGAATTGTTGATCTCATTTGTTTACGGACATACAAGTAGCTCAATATGTAAATGTGTTTGTAAAATATACTTTATTCAGAACATGTAAATGACTATTTTAAGAGATAATAATATTATTATTGTATATATTTTGTAATGGAGATTTTTACACGTAATCCAATTTTATTCAGTTCGATAGTTGAATGTTTCCGATGTCCACATGCATTGATTTATCCTACTGCGTTGTAAATATTAATTTAAATGAGATGTGATATGCATACTGACATTATTTCTTAGTGGTGTATCATAAAATTTATATGATTGCGTTGACATGAATTTGTGTATAAATTGATATTGTAAAAATTAACTCGAGTACGTTGTTCAGACATTGACGTTTCGGACATAAATAAATAACTTTTACACAATCTCCTCTTTTATTTATGCATGATTTTAAATTTCTTCCTAGTTCATGATTATTATCTAATCTCTCTGTATGATTCGTGTGACACATGATAATGAAACGAGGAAATATAAAACTACATGTTAATTTGGTTAAAAAAGTATGCCTTTTTATTCTTTCAAATAGTCTTCATCTAAATTTTATAAGAACATTGGACACAATCGAAGCTTTTTACCGATAAATAAGTATAAATAATTTCATATTCACATAAATCGTCTTATTTATACATACATTACATTTATTTAATATCAGTCCTCTCAAAAGGTCCATTCTCTCCCTGCAAATTAAATTTTATTATTTACATAGCGATAGGGATTCGCGTCTACCGTACATACATACATCAACAATTAACAATTAATAGAGACTATTTACAAAATATATCACAATCACTCGCGCGTTCATCCGTCACTCAGTCGTCGACACACACAGATTTGGCATATGGATGGCGGCGTCACTAGCAGTCGTTCCACGCGAGCCACCAGGGCGCGCGGCAGTCCTCGCGCTTCCGCCGCCGGCGCTCGCTGCGGTCGGCGCGCTTCTTCACGAAGCGCACGTTGTACGGGTCCTCGGCCAGCTCGGGGTAGCGCGCCACGTCGTGCGCGTACTCGCCCTCGTAGCCGCCCGCCGAGCCCGCCTTCTGGATCTCGTCCAGCTCGGCCGCCGACCAGTCCAGCGAGCCGCCCAGCCCGCCGCGCAGCGCCTCGCGCTCGCGGTGCCACGCCTTGCGCACCGCCGCCGCCTTGGCGTGGTGCAGCAGCCGCTGCCGCTCCCGCTCCGCGCTCGTGCCGTAGCGCAGGTTCACGATGCTCGTCTGGCCGTGGATCTTCACGTCCGCGTACGAGCGGCCCGCCTCCGCGATCTCGTGGAACGTCACGTTCAGTTTACCCTGCATCCGCTTCAGCTGCTGCTTGTCGTCGGCCGCCCGCCACGTCTCCTCCTTCACGAAGTAGAACACGTCCTGCTGGTCGCCGTGCACCACGAACGAGAACGGCAGCAGGTGCGAGCGGTTGAACACCGAGGTGTAAACGTCTCGGTAGATGGCGTTCGCTGACGGGACCGTGGTGACGACGGCGCGGCCGCGGGAGTTCCGCGACACGAGGATCCCGCGGCCGAACGGCGGCTCCGAATCTGAGCCGATTCGCTTCGGAGCCAGGTCCAGGGCATCCGTCTTCAATGCGGACATGGCAGGAATAGATAGGCTTCGGAAATCAGCTATCCGCTTGTTAGACATGTGCGAAAGGAAGCCTGACTCGATGGTGACGCTGGGAAGTAATGCCATGGCGCCTGGCATGCCCGGTCCGGGATTCGTAGGAGCCGCGCCCCACACCGGGCGGGTGCGAGGCACACTGGGAACTACCGCTCCTCCTGGCAATTCATCAGGATACAGCTGTGGCGCCAAGCTCTTCGTGTCATATCCTAGTAGTTTCAGCCATGATAAATGATCTGTAAAAGAATTATGGTGTTAAAACTTGCTGAGACTAAAACTCAATTTTATTTTGATTATTAAGTTTTGATGATACGTACCTGTTGGTTTCTTATCCTGCGGCCTAACATTGATAGGATCGTTTCCATTGAATCTGTATAAATGCAGTTGAGTTGGAGTATGTATTCTTTCAATGAGATTTTCCCAGAGAGGTGACATCCATTGGCCAATCAGAGGGTCATATACTTTTCCGTTTGCCATGTGGACCAGGGAAGTCACTTGGTCCAAGAGTCCTCCACAGAAGTCAACTGGCAGATACAAGTAGGGGTTGGAGTCGTAAACGATATGACCGTACGGTGATCTCATGATTTCTCTGATGCCTTCTCCATATTGATTGAAAACCATTACTGGTGTTCCACATTGATCGGTTGCAATGTAGTATTTATGTCGGGCGACCTGAAATTAAATAATTTATTAGTTACTATGCTAAGAACACTGGGCCTTACAGAGTAGAACATCTGAGGGAATTTTAAAATACATACCTGCGTGTAAATAAGATGTCCTCTGTCGTCGTAAACCAACGTCATGAATCTATTCTCACGAGGCGAATAAATGTGGCTCACTTCATGCGGCTTCTCTTTGTTGGTGTAGAAGAACTGCGTTACGTTACCGAAGTTGTCTTTTCTTGTAGAAAGCCTGCAAATAACGATTACGTTAGATACCACATACTTATGTACCTATACTGAGTGCATGTATCAAAAAATCTGTGAATTAAGNTAAAGAATACATACCTATCCAGATGATCATAATAGTAGCGGACATCAAATCTTCCACGTTTAGTCGCCCTTATCAACAATCCTTTGGAATTGTATTGGAATCTTTCTTCCCTGGCATTTTGGGATACCAATCCACGGCTGTCGTATCTGTATTGACCTTCACCGAACTTGATTATACGGTCCATGTCGTTGTATTCCATTGGAATCGTGTTTCCTCTGTACGTCAAAGACAGCATGTTCCCGTTATCATCATACCTAAAGCCCCAAGGCTCTTGAGCCTCTACTCCAGTCAACTGCCCATCACAGTCCCATGTATAGTTTTTAACATTCGTGTAGCTATTGACACCCACATTTCTCGTGTGAGTTCGTGTTTGTGATATTCTGCCATGTTTGTCGTAGGAGAATTCCATCCTGAAAACTTCCATCCTGTGAATATTTACAGTTACCTCCTTTTCTAGGAACTGTTCGTTCAGAGTGCGTGAAAACATGGCGATTCCATCGTAAACTGAAGTTTCATTCCACTTTTGCTTAGACGCTGTAAATTGTCCCAAGATTTCAGGAGCGCCTGTCTTGCTATTATAAATGATGTGATGTGGAATAAGGGTTTGGCCACCAATTCTTCCTTGCACGGATGTTATCCTGTAGTTGTTGTCATATTCGTAAATTATTTTAGCATTGCTAAGGCCAGTTTTAGCTCCGTAGTCCAGTCTTTCTTCCATCAGAAGACCACCGGCGTAGGTTGATTCCCATCGGTAGTCGACGTCTCGATCAACGTGTAAGATTTCAGATGGTAGTCCACTGTTCTCTGAGTAGTGTATTTGAGTTTGACCATCTCCGTGAATGACTTCTGACACCTTGTTAGTAGTAAAGTATCGGTAGACTACTCTTGCACCATCACCAGGGAACACTGTTTGCAGCAGTTCACCAGTATGAGAGTAATGTTGCAGATACTTCTTAGAAGATCCTGGAGGTGTATATGTCACTCTCAAGAATCCTATTGATGGCTGTACGCTAAAGGAATGATTTGTCCCAGAGGGCAAAATAACATGAGTCAAACCACCATCTCCATCATATAAATATTTGAAACTTCTTTGACTAGCTAAAGTAATTTTAGAGACTAGATTGCCCTCATTGTAGTAAATAAATTTAGTGCCATCTTGAGGACTTGTGATTTCTGATAGCATGCCATGAGGATCGTAGTTGTATGTTTCTTCGCTTTCTCCCCACTTCCAACCGTTGATTCGGTAAAATCTATCATACGAAATGTTGAGAGGAACTCCAGCGCCGTGCGGTGTAAACGATAACGGTAATCCAGCGACATCATAAGCTATAGTGAATAGCGGGTTCCTGTCAGCATTGAAAAATGTTTCTTTACTCTTGAACTGATCAAATTCGATGATTAGGACTCTCGAATCGTTTACCCATATTTCTCTATTCAATGTTTGCTGGGGGTTTCGGACATCTCCGACCAAGGTGTACAATGAGTACATGTTGTTAATTAGTCCATCACCGAAAGTAGAGGTTTGGTGTGACCACATGTGGAGCATTTCAGCTTCGATAGGGAGAGCAGCTTCTAGCAGTGGATGTTTAGCGGCTGCGATACTTTCAAACTTCCCAGACCAAGGTGTTTCCAACATCAGCGTGTTGTTAGAATAGATTCGGCCCTCTGTGATTTGTTTACCATTGTTTATGGTAATTTGCTTGAACGATTGTCCATGTAGTACGTATTCGCACTTCTTAGCTACACCAACGGGGATGGTACTGGCTGGGTTGGATACTGTAACAGCGAGTCCGTAGTTCTTGGCCAGGCCTGAAGTTATGTGGACCTGTTCTCCAGAAGGCATAATAATCCTGGTGACGCGGCCGAGTTCGTCGTAATTGTAGATAACTGTTTCACTGGCCTGAAAGAAAAAAATAAGTATGAGAAAAATTGCATAAATAAATGGTTTGAGGTACCTACATAACATATGTAGTTGAATATACGGTTATTTATTATATTAGGATTAACTTATATTATTCTTACCCCTGATCGACTGTTGAGTAAACCGCTATTAGCATCATAATCTAACTCGATTTCAGATGTTCCCTTTTCGCTTATCTTTGTTAGGTAACCAATACCAGATATCTTCAGTTCCAACTTGTGATCTTGCGTGTTTTCTATCGAGCTGACAACATTGCTGTAGTCCCTGAGCAGCTGTATTTTATTTCCAGACGCATCAGTAACTGTTGACAATTTTCCGAAACTGGTGTTTTTGGAATACAGGAATGAATATCTTGTTTTGCCAGAAGTCAAGTCTTTGGTAGTAATGTGTTGACCGTAACGGTTGAAGACATAGATTTCTGATGTGGGTGGATAAGGTATTCTGAATTCTCCATTCTCATCATGCGTTGGCAAATAATGCTTCAGGGCTAATATATGTAGAGAACCTGTGAAAAAAATACGGAGATTAATAATATCATATTTATAACACCAAAATCTGTATCACATCACACCTTTAACATAATAAGTATAAATATTTACCTTGGTCTACAACATTCAAAACTCCATCTGGGGTAACGGCTAGAGCTGATATCGTTTGGAATTTGGCGTTTGACGATAGCAGCGTTTCAGTACTTGTGGGCGGTTCGTCTCCTGCTGCCACGCTTAGCCTGCATGGGCATCCAGCTTCTTCGCCCCGAGGGTTCATTGGCACTACTGTGGCCGAAGTAGAAGAATTGCATTCACAGCTAAGTTCTTTCAGATTCTCTTGGACCTTGCCAGCAAAGTGCATTATCTTTCCTGAAGGATCAATAGACTTGATCGTGTTCGATTTCTTTGAGTCAGACTCGGCAACGTACAAAATCCCGCTCGGTGCGAATGCTAGAGCTAAGATTGTGCCTAAGCTGGAATCTTCTCTGAAGTCTGTATTCGTTTTGTTCATCGGCTTAGTAATTGGCTTTCCATCGCTTCCAAGCCTGCAGTGGGACGGCTGCCCAGCAACTACCTTGATCTTCATATCCGCGGTCAGCTTCAGTATTATTCTGTCGTCAATGAAGTATAGCGACCCATCAAGAGGTGAAAGAGCTACTCCAGTTGGCCATTGTAGTTGAGCTTCATATGGTGGTATAGCTCCTCTGCATGGAACTGGAGACCAGTGGTTGTGGTGACCATGGTGGCCTACCAAAGTGTGGATGATGCCATTTGGATCAACTGCTCGAATGTTAGTTCCGTCTGCTATATACATAGTTCTGTCTGCAGCAATAGCAAGACCTGAAAAGAAAAAAAATACGAAATGAGTAATCATAATTCTTAAAAGAAATTAAATTGCTGAGACTTGCATCATGGAATTGTAACTAATTTTCGTACCTTTGGGATGAGCCAGTTTAGCCTTAATAGCTGGGCCTTCATCACCACAGTTGGAGTCGTCTCCAGGCACACATCGATCACCATTGCCAACCACAGGTTCAGAGTTAGTAGCTGGATCACGTACTTTCTCCAAGAGAAGCACTTTCCGAACTTGGTGCCTTTCCGAGTCTGATATGTAGAGATTTCCGTCGGCAGGTGATATGCAAATGTAGTACTGGTACGCCACTTGGGTGGTTCTGTAAATGCAACGGTGTTTTATTATAACAGGTTTTATGAACTCTATAAAGCAGTAGTAAAATATTTTACAGGTATTACTCTAATTAACATTTTATGAGGGTGCTGCAATTAGCTTTTGTAGCACTTTTTGGGTAGTATAATTTTGCTGGCTCATGAATTAGTAAAACTCACTCTAGTTTCAACACGGTGGTTACGACGCCCTCGGGGGTTATTCTTCTCACAAGGTTGAAGTCGCCGACGTATAATGAACCATCTGGGCCAGAGGTCAAAGCGGTAGGGGTCAGGAGACGAGAATCAGCTGCCTTGCCGTTGCAGTTGTCAGGACAGTCCAAGGATCGTTGAAGGCCTGTGCCCATCACGACCTGAAATTGAGCAGTTAACAATGTGATTACTCCTTCCTTACTGAAAAGATGTTCTTTATTCACTAATGTATTTCAGTCAGAAATGACTGACTATTCAATTTTGTATTTACCTGGACAGTTCTAGGATACTGCTTCAAATGCAGAAGCGCTCCGTCACCCTTTTGCAAGATGCCCTCATGGAAGTTGTAATGGTGGTGGATATCCAGGCCCCAGCCGCCGATATCGGAGATGTCTACGTCGAAGCCAGCCAATGTGGCTGTCTGAGTCTCCCACACGATGGAGGAACAGGACGAGTATTCGTAGCCGATGGAGATCTTAGCTTGGGCTTGACCGTAAACCTGGGGTGAGCAAAGATTGATGTTATTTTTTTGTACATAAAAATAATCTGGTCTGGTCTGGTCTGGTCATAGATGGATCAGAGAATGATATTTTCTTCTTTGGAACTGTAGATCACAGGTAGGTTAGAGGTAGTAATTTTAAGGGAGTTCTTTATCTCTAAGATATCGTAAAATTCTCCCAAGCGTTTCCTGTGTGAGGTGAGCTTAGCTTTTGCCTATTATTTAACTTTTTATCAAGGCAGCAGATGAAGAAGAGACCAGTAGTAAGACACGACCTCGATGCACGATGTACTCCATGCAGTGGCGGGGCAAGACCTAAATTTGATGTGGGCAAGACAGATTTCGCGAGGCCTAGTTCTGTGGCGACCTGAAGACGGATTTTATGAAATAATAAAAAAAAACGGGTCAATGGTCTATTCATTGACAGTTTCTGATTTCTTGATTCAGTGATTATTTTTAAAGGAATTTTGCGCCAAAGAATAATGTTTGTCACTTAAAACCGTGTTGTTGCTTAATTTTGTGTCTGATTATGGCTGAATTTGTTTGGAAAAAAAAAAATTAACTACATTGTTTAGCTATCAATAATTTATATTTAATAGTATTTAAAAGTTAAATTTGTCATGTGAGCAAAATTTTTGATGCGCGAGGCCCCTTGTTCCGCGAGGCCGTAGGCGGTGGCCCACGTCGCCTACGCCTTACGCCGCCACTGACTCCATGAGTGCCAGATTAGAATAGAATATACAAAAAATCTATATCCTGTTCCTTACCTTCTGCTTGTAAACGTTCCTCTTGTTCCACGCGAACACATGCGTCAGGTCAGGATCAGCTTCATACGTGTGCGTATGCAGCGAGCCTTCTATCTCGACGCGCACATGCACCCTGGCTAGCGCGGCGGGCACCACGCGGCGTGTAAGTTGCACGTGCACGCACGAAAGGTAACCCGCGGATTGGGACGACCGGTACGTCAGTTTGACAGAAGAGCCAGGGATGCCGATCGACTCGCTCACGATCTGTGGTAGATTTAGCAAGGTTAAGAAGGAAAGTAGGTGTAGGCAATTTCGTTTTCCCGACCATTTTGTTTAAGTTAGAATACGAGTTTACTCTATTTTATATTTAGGTACTTATTACTTATTTTGTGTAAGTGAAAAAACTTTTTTCAGGAAGTTTCAGGAACTCTCTAATTGGGCACCAATCGATACCGTCTCTACAGTTCTCGCATAGTAGTTAGTCGGTAGGTTACAAGGTAAAATAGTATCAGAACATCAGACTAGCACCATAGGGGGCGTCCATTAGGTAATGAGACAATTTTGGCTATTTTTTACCACCCCCCGCCCCCCTTGGTGAGATTTCATGAGATTTTGCCAGACCCCCTCCCCCACCCCCCAATCTCACGGAGATTTTCCAAAATGCCTATTTAGTTTCTATGTAAATGAGATGATCCATGCTTGGAAAATATTAGATCTTATAAAAAAAACACGACCTGCGTAAAAAAATAACTTTTATTACAATTTCCCCCCCCCAAAGTCTCACGTTATTAATGGACGCCCCCATAGCACCTATTAAAACTGTTTATGAAGCCACTATGTTTTTTTATGTGTCGTCGTTCCTACGTGACGATTGGAAGCTAAATCGTCACGTTGGAACGAATATGAACGGACATTTATTGCAAATAACTCCTGAAAATATAATGCAAAACCCGACTTTGTAGCTTTGAATATTTATAGGAAATGTAAGATTGCGTCATGGGGTAATTTTAGTAAATTGCCCGCAAATTCGCACAGAGCGATACGTGCGCGAAGGGAATAATAACACGCTCGCAGGACGATGACATATTTACGGACATACTCGTTTGAATGTACGGAACCAATTTAATAACAGTCATGTAATTTTGCTTTCGTTTTGATAAATGAACACATTAGCCTCATTCAGCTTGGGTTCATAATACTGTTCATTAGATACGTTATATACCTACTCGTAATTCTAATGTCAGCCGAGCAAATACCCACTATTTATATTTTTCTGGGTACCTGATTACGAAGCCATGACCTTTACTAAAAATATATTCGATTCCTGTTATTAAAAGTAACGAAACTGTCTTAGAGATATTTCAATCATGATTTCTTACTTGAAATCGATTGACTCAGATGGGACTTGAAACCACCCACACAGTCATGACCTTTCGCTTTTCCATTTATTTTGAAAGCGACGGAAATATCTCAGTTATTTCACTCTGCAATCAAAAATTGGTTTATTTCTTAAATAGACCATTCTGTACCAATAAATTGAATTGATCGGCCTTATTTGAGAGATTGGTGAATTCTTTATTGGTATGTATTTATATCAGGAAGTTGATCAAAGAGCACTAAGTACTTTCATACGCCAGATCAGGTTGAAATAGGTAGCCCAATAATAAGCTATCATTCATTATCAATTCACTGAAAGAGGAATTAACCTAACACGTAAACCACCCTGGCAGGCTAGCCCTGGCGTTATAGATTACGTTTTGTTATTCCTTCACTCTTTCCCCTTTAACCAGTATAGAAAAAAATATTTTTCATTGGTTTTGAACCAGTATGTCAATAAAGTTCAAAATATGGTGGCAACAATTCAGCCACTATCGGTAAAGTGGTTAACGGCTTTTACAAACAGAAGTGACGTCATAAAATTTAGATCAACATTTACCTGAGCCTCCGGGTAGACGACGGTGTTGGGAGTGTGGTGTGAAGCAGCAGGCGCTGCTAGAGGCGGTACAGCAATCACTTCAGGTCGCAGTCGCTCGTGGTCGTGTGATGGGCACGGCCCAGACTCGTTTTCCCACCATTGTGGCGTTGGCGACCAGTCTAGACGAGGTGGTGCTCTGTGGAACCGAAGGTGTCGTGTGAATAATTTTGTACACGTTATCTTTATCTATGTGATGCGAGTACTTATGTTCTTCATCTATATCGAGATAGAGCGTTTAAAGTGTAGTCATCGATTCATAGATAGAAGGTAGTAGGTTTGGATCTAGTAACATAAGAAAACTTGATGATCCTTTACCCTGTTGACTCTGTACATTTTTGGCAAAGGTCTGTCGAATAGTTGTAAATATAATGTAGGTACATTTTGAGTATCACCGAATACTTACGCTCCGAATAATAGGAAGAATCTACATCTAGTTAAGTAAGTAATGCAAGCGTGTCTACATTTTGCTTAACATGCTTTTAGTATGTATAAGTATAATCTGTCTCTACATTACATACACTCTAGATGTGAAGAACAGTCTAAAACCTGTCAATTAAAACAAAACCTTACCCACTTGGTTTAGCTCCCATTTTCCTGAAAAGCTTATAAAAACAATTGACTAACCTCGGTGTGGGCACTTTGACGCTCTCGTCACTAAGTTCCATTTCAACAGGCGGCAGCACGACGATCTGGTTCCAGGGCACGAAGACAGTCTTCCGTAGAGGCTTGAACGGTGATCGTTGGAACTGCAGCGTCACGGCGCCTCCTCCGTTGACCAGCACGTCGAACCTTTAGGGATAAACAGCTTTAATGTAAGGTAAATAAAGCGTATACGTATACAAAATTACACTAATCAATCAGGTTACGTCAAATTGATTCGTTACGTCAAATTTACGTCAAATTAGGTACCGACACATAGAATAAAAATTAAGGGTTCCTCGCCCCCAACCGTTCATTGGTAACTAAAAACCCAGATATCTAGAAAGTTGAAGACCTTTAATATTAATATTGATTAAATCACTAAAATGTATCATAGAGATTTCACGAGAGCATTAGTTAGCGCATTTTTCTTTTCATACTCATTTTAATCTGCCATTAGAGTCAGTTAACATTAACCAGACTGCTTGGTTAATATAACTGACTCTAATTCAATTCGCTTCGCGACTAACGCTTGTAATTTTCACGTTTTTGCTTGGAACCAAGCAAAAACGTTTTTAAATCTAGCGCTTTAATTATTTCTATTCTAGTCTAATCATTCCGCAATCTCTAACCTAATTAGGTTAATTAACCTTTATTAGTCGAACAAAAAAAATAGATTCGAACGAACGGTATAAGTAAATTGCTGACGACCGTTTCATTTCAACTCATTTTCTTTTCAATAAAAATCAGTTTTAACGGGAAGTTAAGCCCAGAAGCTAGTTGCAGTAAGTTTTAAGTATCTGAAACGTATCTAACGTGTGAAATTGAAATCCGCAACGCGATTGTTTTTATGTTTAAAGCTTATTCTACGAACGAGGCGTGTCTGGGGCAGTGCACGGCAAATTGTTTTAAGTAACTACTTAAAGGTACCGCTGTTATTTCGGCAGCAGTGGGTGCTTAGGTTAAATCGACTGGACAACATTAAGTTCGTCTGGAGTAGATTATCGAGTTCTGTAAAAATCGTATTATTATTTGCACAAAGTTCAGACGTAGTCTTGGATGTGCAGCAGACCACAATACCTTTAGTTACGTAGTAAGTAGGTAGGTACTTCATGAAAAACGTATTCGTTAATATTTTAACACTATTCGGCTATAAGGTAAACTTAAAGGTAAACAAACTAAACGTATACTAAAAGATTCCCATTTCATTTTGATTCTAGAGTTGCGTGTAGATAATGTATTGATTTAACAATTCGTTACCCTTAAGTCCGTCTGAAACGTAAACGATTTTACAGCAGATTCACGTTAATCGATATTTAAATGCTCGAACGTGTCATGTTATTCGATTACACGTTCACATGATACCGGTTGTGTTCCGCTGGCGAGTAATTCGATTTCGTACGCGATGCTTTTACAGATACGCGCAAGGAATCCGTAACGACCGTGGCCGAACAATAATGATGATTGCTATAAAGCTGCCTCAAATATTTGTGTTGTTGAACGCTAGTTAAACTGTTTACGCACATCATGCGAGACGGAACGGATTGGACAATATTACTCAACAAATCGATTGTTATAATAATCTCCTAATTTTGTCTTAAAGTTGAATGACCTGAAGTCGTTCTTTTAAAGCTCTTTTCCGTGGAAATGGAAAATTGAAAGCTTTTCAGCTCACTAAAAGACATGAATAGGATTTTAAATTAATAAATCTTTTTTCTGTGTAGCTACTCTAATTTAATAAAACTGTTGAGAGTGTGATTCTGTCCATTGACTAGAAAAAATAGTTTCAAGGTCTTTTTAGAATCAGCGGAGTTCAAAAATATTCATGTTATTTGTGGACTACCGAGATGATTTTATTTTAATTGTTTAATGGGGCACATATTTATCGCATTTCAAAAATACTAATGTAGAGTCTGAAATGTATTTTAACCAGGGATGTTATGTATATGAAGTTTCGGTTATGGATACTGTTACGGATATTAGAATAATATTATACCGGTTTCGGTTACGGTTACGGACAGTAAATAATTTCAGATTATCCGAAAGTTTCGGATAATTTCGGTTACGAATATTAGAATTTTAAAAAGGTAAAATTCTAAGATTAAAATGCTGCACGACCCACATAGCCACTTTATGTACTATACTATGACGGTACCTATGATGGAGGTAAAACAGGCGGGCATATCAGAATGGTGCCAGGGGATGCAAGACAAGTAACAAATATTAAAAATATTAAGATTTAGACGCCGCCTTTATCCGAAACTTTTGAATCGGTTTCGGTTACGGATATTTTTTATTTCGGATATCCGATAGTTTCGGTTACGGATACGGATATCCATAACATCCCTGATCTTAACCCTGTTGTTGTTAGTCAGTCTTGACAAATAAGAAGATAAGGTTGATTAAAAATAAATATAGCCGTGACGACTACGGTTATTTGACAGAAATGTATTTCAACACGCACGTCTTCGAGCACAATAAACTATAGACAATGCCGGTTATGAACGCAAATATCTATAACGAAATCCTTGAGAATTGGTTTTAATGGTCACTCCTGCGCTCTTCCAAGGTTCTATAATGTGCTATGCCTAGTCCTACTATTAAGTAGATGAAGTATCAACTGACACGAATTTTAATATACAGTGTGAGTCACGTTAAAGTGTACATATGAAAATAGATGAAACTAGACCTATTTTTATCGACAAAAAAGAGGTCAAAAATTTTTTGAGATTTTTTTAAAATTTTTTATAGATTTTTTTTTTCTTCCAATTACTTATTGTAAAGAAAACAGAATAACTTTTAAACTAAGCGGTATATCCTGATAAAATAAAAACAGTAATAATGCTAAATTACAGGCGATACTAAAAAAATACATAAAATACACAAAAAATGCCAACAAATAATAAAAAATGATACTTTTTGAAAAAAATCTGCTTTTAAATTCGTGTTTTTTTGGTTATTTGATAAATTTCTCCAAAAAATGCCCCTATAACAGGTAGTTTTTATTACTTTTTATTATTCTCTATCGTATTATCTTTGTAAAACCAAAAATCGCACGTCTCTATCCCTATCACAACATTTGCTATGATCGTGTGAACTAAGCCTCTCCGGGCGCGACATTCAAAATTGTATATCAAAACTGTATATCAAAATGCCCCTATAACAGGTAGTTTTTATTACTTTTTATTATTCTCTATCGTATTATCTAATCATAGAAAACCAAAAAAACACGAATTTATGCAGATTTTTTTCAAAAAATATCAATTTTTATTATTTGTTGGCCTTTTTTGTGTATTTTATGTATTATTTTAGTATCGCCTGTTATTAAGCATTATTACTGTTTTTATTTTATCAGGATATACCGCTTAGTTTAAAAGTTATTACGGTTTTTTGACAATAAGTAATAGGAAGAAAAAAAATTCTATAAAAAATTTAAAAAAATCTTCAAAAATTTTTGACCTCTTTTTTGTCGATAAAAAATAGGTCTAGTTTCATCTATTTTCATATGTACACTTTAACGTGACTCACACTGTATTATTATCTTTGTTTCAAGAGTGAGAGCTAGTGAACGCCAGACCTACGCCATTTTATAAAAGCTGAAAGTTTGTCAGCGCATGCTCCCAATATAGGATATAATGTTGGTGAATTATTAAGTTTGGGTCATCGTGGCTTTCGGAGCTACCCTAAAAAAACTGTCTGGCAAGGAGTTGGAACTATCAAAACTGTCTGGCTGTTGGGGAAAATACTTCTAATTATTGCCCAATTATTATACATAAAAATCAACAATGAGTTAATGGTAAGAGGCATATTTCCACAAAAAAATAATTTCAGGCAGGGGTGACATCTCCTGGCCACCAGAAAACCCTGATCTCACTCCAGAAAACTCCTTTTTGTGGTGTTACCTTAAGAATAGAGTATACTCTTATAATCCAACAACCATGCAGCAACTGCAGCTGAACATTTGGTAAAAAATGGAAAATAGGTTTCGAGGTAATTTTAACGAACGCATTTCAAGATTTTGATGTATGTGGATCGAATGTTGTAAGCGTCAAAGAAATCTCCTGAACAATGTAATTCAATAAAGGTAAATTTAAAAATAAATTGCATTACTTTTTCTTTAAATTGTAATAAATAAAGTTATTTTAAATTGTAATATCTTGAATTTTCAAAAGTGCATTTCATTCTAGGCCACCCTGTACTTCTGAATTAAATATGTAATTAATCAAACAAGCGCCTACCGCGCTATTGATAACGTTATTATATTTTGATAATTAGCCACAACTCTGTTTATTTTAATTAGCTGACTGACCGTTGTTAGTGTTTGGCGGTTAATTCTAATAATGTATCCCAATATTTGCATAATAGATACAGTCAAAAGTTATACCAAATATAAATTCTCACCAAATTGATGTCGACAGCTTGTAATAATTTAAGGGTGTAATGTTTAGTTAGGCCAGTTATTTAGAATAATTTATTCTAATTAATAGATTACAAAGCCAAAGCAATTTTCTTGATTATGTATGATGTAGGGTAAGTNTACCCTAATTGGCATTATTAGTGTAAAAGTTTGCAAAAGTAAAGTTCAATGAAGTCAATAAACTTTAAATTATCTGTTAGTAGGCCAATTTATTAAGAAATCGACATAGGTACTTGTCGCTGTTTTTGAGGCAGACTGTACGCGATAGAGCGAGGAGCAATGCCTATTTATTTTATAAGTAATAAAATTTCCCTGGAGCGAGCGCGAGTGCCACAATTTATAAAATGGCGATGTCTATAGTATACGAGTATTATACAGTTTTCATTATAGAGCTGCCTCTACAATTTTAATCCCTGATACACGTCGGCTTTCATTTCTCATTTACAGAGAAGTTAATCATTTCGATTCCTATGGGATTTTCGCGGTATAAAGGGATGACGTAAAAGCGATATTACTATGAATTACATCGAAGCATAATATTCAATGAGATTATTTCTGATAGAGGTCGAACTTTTTGAAGAGAGTCAATAATATGGTTTTAGATAACTTGTTATTTCTTAATGTTTTGTAGATTATAATAAATTTTCGACATGATGTACGACGTAATCAAGTAATATTATCGACCATATAACTATAATGTTTGTTTTGCTTGTTAATTCAAATGTTGTTTTTTTCAGCGTTCTCTGTTGTAGAATTTCATGACAATTTCTCTCAATCACAAACCAGTATTTTAAAATTTTTTTATACCGACATCGGAGAAGCTTTATTCGTTTATATTATTGTCTATACGTGCTATACTACTATATCAAAATATCCCTGTTTTTTGTTGGATTTCATTTGAGTTTTTCATCACATCACATAATTAAACAGTTTAAAGGCTTAGGTACAATAAAATAAAATACCCAAATACTTTTTATTAAACCAAACTCATACGTACCATCCACCTTGCCTGGTCAGCGTGAATCCGAACCGGGCCTCCCGGTCCACGGAGACCCTGATGCCGATGATGCCCAGCCCCTGGGGCGAGACCACCTGTCCCCTCATCACGGAGACTCGGCTGCACAGACCGGCCCACGTCAGTAATGAAAGGGGGCAAAGCACTAACACTGGGCAACACCGTTTTTTAAAAGACTGATATTAAGAGCTGTGGAATCGCTGAAAGCCATATATTTTTTATTGTGTTAGAACAGGGTTACAATAGAATAGATGTACATAATCATGGGTTAGTCTTATAGTAGTTAAAATAAGTTCTTGTTCTTTGCCAAAAAAATAAATAATAGGTCAAGGAATTAAAGTTTAACCGACAATATAAAAAGCAACTTCTCTCCTCCATCATTCTTAAGAAAGTTACCGATAAAAATATTGGTTATGCTATACATATTAGGATTTAACTTTTATTTTCACTTATTACTTAAGTACTTATTTGAAAAAATACTTAATCATTCTCAATCATCGCAGGGAGACAGCTTAGGAGACAGGGATGATTTTTAGCAAATAACAAGAACCTTTGAAAAAGTGGTTCAATCAATCATCGTTCATAATAAATTAAGTTTTGTTATATTACATAAGTACATAGTTTCAAAATAGGTTGTCTAAAATTTTTCTACCTATTCATATACATCAGATATCCATGATATCCATCAGACAAAATATCTCACATTTGTTTTACGATTACATGATTGTATACATTTTATTAAACATTGAAACATACTTAGTAGGCTATTTGAAAACATCAAAAATAATGTGACTGACAACCATTTAGTTAGACCATAGGTTCATAAACTGAAAGCTTAAGTTCATACTTAAGTAAAAAGCTTAGCTTGAAAGTTTTGATGTCATTTGTCTTTGTCTTTGACAACTGCACAACTCACAGCTTTATCGTCTGACGATTCCCGTGATTAGTAGCCGGAATATTGGCCACTAATAAAAATCGAAGGGGGTTTTTCAAATAGCCTATTGAGTATACATAAATTGAATAAATAACTTTTACCTATTTATAGTTCTTGTCATCATCTTCATCATATAGCATTTGTCATCAAAATCGTTGGTCTATTAATTTATTACGGTACGTGTACAAATTTTTGCTCGAGTTTTTAATCACTCATCAGCAACCGAATAAAGGTTAATAAAATATGTCCGTCTCTACATTTTTAGATTTGAAGAATAAAAAATAAGATTTCAATTGACCTGAATTAAAAAAAATTAAGTAGAGACGTTTATTTATGCCCCAGGTCGACATCCAGTGCGTTGGTTAGCATTTTATTGCAGCGATATTTTTTATCGCCACAACGCAATGCGGCATTTTCTCATAGCCCCAACGGGTTCTAGGCTAATGTCAAAGGAAACAGAACATGAATTTTACTTTGTTGCCTTTTGAATTTGCCACAATGCCTTTAAAACATTTGGAAAGTCTAAAATTCAGTTTCAATTTGCTCTACATTTAACGAAAAGTATTTTTGGTTAAGATTTAAGTAGGTAATTTTATTTGTAATAGTAATAAAATACTTTATCATTTTATTGGTATGTAGGCTAAGTATGATACCAAGAATTACTAATTACTGTTGCTAGTGTAATTAAATGTTATTTTGGTTAATCAATTAAGACTCTACTTACGAGGCCTTCGAAATTGATGATCGTGACTAAAATTTAATATTATTGTGTTACGACTTAAAAACAAATACGAAGTATTACTTTTTTTACATATTTTATGGTTGTTATTCCATAAAAACATACATTTAAAAAAATATTAATTAAGTTAGTATAAATTTACTTATATTTGTGGATAATTAACTAAAATTATTGTAATAACAGGGTTAGTAATAAATAAACATTACACATTTTTATAATTTTATACATGTTATTAAGTATACATTATCTTATTAAATATGGCTTCCAGCAATGACAATAGTGGCATATTACTATTAAAAAATATGAAACGGTTTCACCCAGTGGCTACTCCGACTATTATAGTTCGAAGTGTACGTGCTATGCTCTCAGTTTGTGAAGTAATAAGTATGAAAATAAAATATTGAAAAATAAAATAAGAAGTTTTAGCATTGCACATTCTCGTATCAGGAATCAGCTAATCGGCTAGGCTAAATTTTAGTTTCATAATTATAAACGAAAATAAAAGACAACAAGATTACTTATTGCATGTATAAATAGCGCAAAATTAACCCTTTATTATATTCACGAAACTAAAATTTTCCTAGATAGGATGTTTTAATAATGCATGTAACAGCTGCCACACAAACCATAGTCATAATATTTTGGTACAATTTTGTATTTTTATCCGGCTGATTTCATACTCATACATTATGTAGGAATTGGTGCAAGAAAAATATCTAAACGCAAAATTTACAGTGTAACTAATCAAATAAAAGAGAATCTAAAGCTTGAATTTGAACTCGATGAAATTATATTCGCAGAACATTAAGCTATTTACTAAAAAGACGGTTAAAATTCGCATGTCACAGTACCTATTACACATGAANCTATACGTACTATACTACTATATCAAAATATCCCTGTTTTTTGTTGGATTTCATTTGAGTTTTTCATCACATCACATAATTAAACAGTTTAAAGGCTTGGGTACAATAAAATAAAATACCCAAATACCTACTTTTTATTAAACCAAACTCATACGTACCATCCACCTTGTCTGGTCAGCGTGAATCCGAACCGGGCCTCCCGGTCCACGGAGACCCTGATGCCGATGATGCCCAGACCCTGGGGCGAGACCACCTGTCCCCTCATCACGGAGACTCGGCTGCACAGACCGGCCCACGTCAGTAAAGAAAGGGGGCAAAGCACTAACACTGGGCAACACCGTTTTTAAAGACATTGATATTAAGAGCTGTGGAATCGCTGAAAGCCATATATTTTTTATTGCGTTAGAACAGGGTTACAATAGAATATACATAAAAATGGGTTAGTACTTAATATACGTTCTTGTTCAGTATGTCCTTTGCCAAAAAATAAACATCCAATTTACCGAAAATATAAAAGTAAGTTATTCATTTTCAAAAAATGCTGATATAAATATTGGTTATGGTACTTTCGGTCGTACACTTATTAGGATTTTACTTTTATTTACACTTATTATGTAGTACATCAAAATCTTTTAATAGAGTTATTTGAAAAAATGCTAAATCATTCTCAATCATCACTGGAAGACAGGAGTTATTTTTTTTAGCAAATAACAAGAACCTTTAATAAAGTAATTCAATCAATCATCTTTTGTTTTGTTATTTTACATAAATAGGTATATAGTTTCAAAATAGGTGTCTTAAAATCTATCTATCTATATCCATCAGATATAATATCCCCCATATTATTTGACGATTACATACATACATTTTATTATACATTGAAACTTACTTACTTACATAAATAATAGGCTATTTGTAAACATGTACATCTGACAACCGTTTTGAACATAGGTTCATTAACTGAATTGAAGATTTATTTTTATACCAAAGATTTGAAGCTAAAGTTTTGATGTCAGTTGCCTTCGACAACTGCACAACTCACAGCTTTATCGTCTGAAGATTCGCGTGATTGGTGGCCGTAATATAGACCACTAATAAAAATCGAAGGGGATTTTTCAAATAGCCTATTGAGTAGACACAATTGAATAGATTACTTAAAATATTTAAGGAATTTCTGGTTACGTAGATCATCAAAATCGTAGTTCTATTGAATTTATTACAGTAAGTATTAATTAATTAAATAGTTTTGCTCGAGCTTTTAATCACTCATCAGCTACCGAATAAAGGTAAATATGCTCGTCTCTACATTTTTTAGATTTCAAGAATATTAAAATAAGGTAATTATTTCAATTGACCTGAATTAAAAACAATTAAGTAGAGACATTTATTTATGCCCCAGGTCGACATCCAGTGCGTTGGTTAGCATTTTATTGCAGCGATATTTTTTATCGCCACAACGCAATGCGGCATTTTCTCATAGCCCCAACGGGTTCTAGGCTAATGTCAAAGGAAACAGAACATGAATTTTGCTTTGTTGCTTTTTGCATTTGCCACAATGCCTTTAAAACATTCGGAAAGTCTAAATTTCACTTTCAATTTGCTCTACATTTAACGAGAAGTATTTTTGGTTAAGATTTAAGGAATTTTATTCGTAATAGTAAAAAAATACTTTATCAATTTATTTGTATGTAGGCTAAGTATAAGTGTGATACCAAGAATTACTAATTACTATTGTTACTGTAACGAAATGTTATTTTGGTTAATTAATTAAAACTCTATTTCCAAGGCCTTTGAAATTGATGATCGTGACTATAATATTATTGTGATACGACTCGAAAACAAATACGAAGCACCTATTACTTATACATATTTTATGGTTGTTATTCACTATAAGATATACATTACAAAAATATTAATTAAGTTAGTATAAATTTTACTTATATTTGTGGAGTTAACTAAATTTATAATAACAGGGTTAGTAATAAATACACATCTATACATTTTTTATTAGTTTTATACATGTTAATGTTATTCAGTATACATTATCTTATTAAATATGGCTTCCAGCAATTACAATAAAGGCATATTACTATTTAAAATTATCAAACGGTCTCACCCAGTGGCTACTCCGACTATTATAGTACGAAGTGTACGTGCTATGCTCTCAGTTTGTGAAGTAATAAGTATGAAAATAAAATATTGAAAAATAAAATAAGAAGTTTTAGCATTGCACATTCTCGTATCAGGAATCAGCTAATCGGCTAGGCTAAATTTTAGTTTCATAATTATAAACGAAAATAAAAGACTACAAGATTATTATTGCATGTATAAATAGCGCGAAATTAACTCTTTATTATATTCACGAAACCAAAATTTACCTAGATAGGATGTTTTAATAATGCATGTAACAGCTGCCACACAAACCATAGTCATAATATTTTGGTACAATTTTGTATTTTTAGCCGGCTGATTTCATACTCATACATTATGTAGGAATTGGTGCAAGAAAAATATCTAAACGCAAAATTTACAGTGTAACTAATCAAATAAAAGAGAATCTAAAGCTTGAATTTGAACTCGATAAATTATATTCGCAGAACATTAAGCTATTTACTAAAAAGACGGTTAAACTTCGCATGTCACAGTACCTATTACACATGAAGGTCAGTCCTGTTGTAAGACACTATGTAACAGCTGTAACCTTAACAAGAATTAAAAATGTGGATAATGTTGGCAATTTTAATGCTAATTAACGTAATGTAAACAGTCGGTTATAAAATAGTCCAGCTGCACTTCATTAATTGTCGTTTATAAATTAAAATTGAACAAGCGTGTTTGGAGGAACCAGTAGTCGCGAGCTACGAAGTGTCTAGGTACTGTTCCAGACCAGGCCAGCGGTCATAAGCTGGACCGTTTGATGCACCGGAATATTACAGTCATGGCAAATCTGTAACATCTAAATACAAAAATATGTACACACTCGTAGTTAGTCACGGGTTGGATTAGGCAACCTGGGTATTTATAATGTCGTTCTGCACAGTTTAGAATTATTGGATTATTGATTGATATGTGCTCATTTGAATACGATAAAATCATGATGTAAAACCATTTTTCAGTGAACGGATCTGAACACTTTCCATCGATTCAATTCAAGACCATTGAAATGGAATATTCATATCTCAGGATTACGCTGAAATGAATAGTTGTTATCCTGAAGGGTGATTTATTGAAACGATATATTATATTGGAATTGAATGGATGTGAATCGAAGGATTACTCAGGTAAAGAACACATCCTAGCGAATATGTAATAGCGATTTTGTCAGTAATCCATTTAAACCAATAATTCGCTTTTAGGTGTTAGATACCACACGTTTACATTGACTTAATTTATATATTTTGATGATATTTGTAGTTAATCTTGTAATACTTAAGGAATCATTACACATTTTAATTACGTAAAACACTTTTGAATCAGTTGTAGTAAACAGTGAATGATTAAGATTTGGTAATAATTCCTTCTTTACTTAACAACGTGCTAACTGTAACACAGTAAAGACATTTTTGTTGCACCAATTTAAATGTGTTGTATGTTTTCAATGGCTGATTGATGGAAGCAATGGCTGTAATGTACATTTGTCGACAAGACTGCTTTATTTCGCTGTGAAATAGTCGGAATACATTCAAATAAGTAGTGTTTTGGTTAGTTACAGGGGTGAGGATCTAAACACATAAAGAGCTCGGGCGAAGGGTAGGGGGTTGGTTAACAGATGAAAGACGCAGACAAAGGGTAAGGAACACATAAAAGGGTAAGTTTATTTGAAGCTAAATTTGCGTGTTCGCTGAAATTTTGCTCGATTGACAATATACAAATCGCGTCTCGATACGTATATTTTACATCCCTACACCTAACCGATTGTGTTTTAAACGTTTTGCGTGAAAGCGTAAATGATTTTCCTAAGTTTTAGTATAACAAAAGTATACCATAGTATATGTGAACTATAACATATAAGCACAAGTAGACGAGACAAATAAATATTACAAAAATACGGCTGTGGCTGCGGCAAATGATATTTGAAACGAGATATAAGTCGCGCGGTGACGGGTGCCCGATTTATGGGGCACATCGAGGGCTTTGTCGCAACCACATAGAACATTCAAGACAAAATACAGATGTTACATACACATAGAGAATGAAACGAATACAGACAAAGGAGTTAACAAAAAAGTGAAAAAGCTTTAGTGGCTCCGCTCGCGTGTCAGTTGACGGACATGCGATGGGCGCCGGCATCACACACATATGCAGGAGTCGCAACAAAAGGGAAGAGGTTAACAGATACTGAACACTGAGGGGCGAGGGCGGGCTGACTGACACTTACCATGGTGTAAAGGAATTCCAGAACTCGCTAGGAGTGGCGGACACGGCGGCACAGGGACACAGAAAGACAGGACAGATTACTACACAGATACCTACATCCCTCAGTGCAACCACACCCCGGCTTTGCAACCGCTCCGGTCGATTGCACTCGTCTACACTGGTTAACTTGCGTTTTAACATTTGAAATTAACGATTGAATACTGTCACGCGTGCCGAGTCATCGACGAAGCCCGTTTGCATTAGAACAACACCACCACTGTAAAACTTGCGTTTGGACGCGAACGGAAAATTTGGAAAAAATATTAACGAATGCTGTAGGTTGCACCAAGACATACGGAGTTAATGTAAAAAAGACATGCTGGATTGTGATGCATGGAGGATCTCCGTCAAGTAAAGTTTACTCGGGGCTAATGGAACAAATGCCAGAACGCAATATAACCACTCTAGACTCGTCAACTTAAAAAAATAGTGAAGCGGCTCGTGTTTTAATGCAAACAAACTTTTGAGGCGCTTTTGCATATTAAGCGAGGTGGGTTGACTACTTTGTTATTCAGTTTTGCTTTGTCTCATTATTCAAATCAGAAGATCGTATTCGATAATTTGTACGTTTTATAATTATCTCAAGAGCTACTACTTTTAGTCGATGTTTTCTGAGCTCGGATCATGAAAGAGTAATTGGATGCAAATTTCTGAAATTATCTTGAATTAATTTACTGATTCTAAGATTTACTAAATTATTCAAAAACTTTAACGAAAGTCTCTCATGATGCAAGCAGTTTTCATGAACCTTGCTAAAACAGTATTAACTTGTTGTAAAGACAAACAAAACTGTTCGAAAGCTTTTGAGCACTCAATCGATTGTGTAATTCAATTTATTTAATTATATTAATAGACGCTTTTGTTTTGTTTAGACAAACAGGTAGGGTTAGACACACACAAGGGATAAACATTAGACAATACACAACACATCGGATCTGGTGTGAAAACAAAATATTAACATAAAACTCAACAGATGAAAAAATAATGGTTAATGTTAAAAAATAACCATGCTAGGATTGCAAATGATAAATCAATATTTTACACGCGAGAAAACAGAGGAAAATCAAAACACTTCCACCAGATGATAAAATAAATCGTAAGTTATAAAAGTATTAAATATTACCAATTAAATTAAAATAACCACACCAAATCCTCGGAGAGGTTCAGGAAGATGAGTGGGATCGTAATGGTAAAGGTGCTAGCTCCTAATAATTACTTTATGTCATATGAAAATTGTTTCTTCTTCTTACTGATAACATTACATACGGCGATGATATCACGAATCTAAAATCATTGTAAAGTGCAATTATATTAAATTCATGAACTGTGCAAAACCGACAGGTCAGTCCTAAACCAATTGGTGTAAAAGATATCGATAAGACTGTTGGTAATTGATTTGCGTCTGGACGATATCTTTTACGTACATGAAGTGATTTGGTGTTTATCAAAAATTTTGGTTAAAACTCGCTGTGGGAGTACTTACCTCTCGGAGTATTCGTCCATGTGAGCGTAGCTTTGGACGGAGTTTTCTTCGATGAGGAACTTGACGCGCTGGTAGAAGGAGGCGGTGACGGAGGGCGGCTGTTTGCGTAAAAGCACTTCCACAGGGTCGTTGGACGAAAGGCACATGATGTGCTCGGCGCACTCGGGCCGGCTGCAGCACTCCGAGTCCGAGCAGTCCGTCATGCCATCTTCAAAACGGTAGTCATTTGTCAGATGACTGCTTTTGTTTTTTTTCACATTCGATAGGAGTTAATAAAAAACAAAATAATAACAAAAGAAATCAAATTCTGAAAGAATCACATTAAACCTCTTTGTCGTGAACGTATTGTCAATAAGTTCCCGGAAGAGACTGTTGTATTGAATGTTCAATACTCATAATGTAACTTGATGTTATTGCCCCTAAGAGGAAATTTCATTTCCCAAATACATACCGGAGATGATAAAAGTCTTCTGATGCATAACAATAAATTATTTTCAATAGAAATAAGTAAGTAAATGTACGTTGTTTTGAGGATAACTGATATCAAGAATCCTACCTTCATCATTGTCTTCGTTGTCGTTGCAGGAGAGTTCGAGTGCTATGGAGCAGTCAGTGCCCGCCCATCCTTCGGCACAGGAACACCGGTATACTCCGTCTTCGAGGAGGCATTGGCCATGCCGGGAACAGCCGTTGGGACATCCAGCTGATCGTACAAGATACAATAAATAAAGAAGAATCTATTCTTTTCTATTTATAAATGTAGCATGCTCCCTAAAGCCTTGAAAATGTCCAAGAAAATATACTAAATCTAGATATCAAATTAGGCGTGGGCATATTCCGCCAAATTGTTGTACTTAAGTAAAAGTTTAACCAAAAACATCGCCCTGTTATAATATCTTGAAAGTCTGCTGAGAAGTTTAGAAGTTGAATATTTGAAAATGAGATTACAAAAGTTAAGTTGAAAACTTAAAGATTCTTGAGACCTAGTTTTTATTCTAATAAAGAAAGTCGAAACTTGGGTGGTATTTTATGCAATTGTTTTACGAAAACTTGAAAAAATTGTTAGCATTCATGTGGATTGCTCGGAATTTCTTTGAGTTAGAGGTACTTATTCTTTCAAATAAGAGATTTGAGATGTATTATGTATGTACTGACGTATTGTGCAGTGTTTTCCGTTCCATCCTTGTGTGCAGACACAGGTGCCGTTCTTGCATTGGCCGTGATCGTGGCAGCGGACATCGCACGGTCTCTGATCGCAAAGAGAGCCAGTCCATCCGTCGTCACAACGGCATACTCCTTCGGCACATACTCCATGAGGTCCGCAGTCCAGTGAGCATACCACTGAAAAGTATTGACAAATTAATTTTCTGCAATTTGGTTTCTTATTTTCTGCAATTTGGTTTCTTGTTTTGATGAAGCATCCAGTTTGTTTTTTATATACCTTGTGAGCAGTCGTCTCCGGTATACAGTGGATCGCATACGCATCGGCCAGCATCTAGATCGTAAACGCCACGCTGCGAGCAAGCGGGTAGGCAGCGTTGTACGCGCGCGTCTCGATCAGTGCACGCTGCACCGCGCCAGCCCGCGCGACAAACGCAGCGGCCGCGAACGCAAGATCCATGGCCACCGCAGGTTGGGTCCAGGCAATCCTCTGTACATAAATTTCAAAATTATCTTCTTATTTCTCCATCATCATTCATAAACAACACGTGTTTAAGAATTTGAATTGCAATATACCTTCGTCACACTTTGATCCTTTCCACCCAGCTTTACAATGGCAATGGCCGGCCACACACTGTCCTCTACCTGAGCAGTCAGCGGGTTCACAATCGTGGGCGGGAATATCACATTCTGCACCTTTCCAACCCTCGGAACAGTGGCAGATACCGCCTGCGTATGCACCATGACCAGAACAAAGAACTGGGCATACACCTTAAAATAAAATGCACGTTAATTAAAACTATTATTAATATCTAGAAAAACCATAATATCAGCTATTAGAGTCATAGCTATTACACTTACTTTTTGAACAATCATGACCTTCGTAGCCGTCCATACATTCGCATTTCCCCAAATAGCAAGATCCGTGCCCAGAGCAATCATCAGGACATGAGTTCGTTACACCTTCTGCCTCAGATACGATCATTTCAACATTGTGTGGCTGGAGCTCGTCATTATATACCGAAATAAACCACCTTCCTGTGTCAAGATACTGCAATATACTAACGTTTACTCTCATATCTGTCGATCTTTTGCTTATCGTGTGGTTCCATCTCTCGAATGGGCTAATCGTGCTTAATAATGTATCCCAGTTATCAAGATTAAGTCCAAATGTCTCATGTCTGTGAGGACTTCTTCTTCTTCTTAATCTGTGGTCGACTCTACCGCCTCGGATAAATTCTACAAAGTCATATTGTGTAACGCTGGGAGCGACATTTCGTCTGCCGTAGACAGCGAAGTTGGCGCCCCATGGCACAGTGAAATTAAGGCTAACATAGGCGGGTTGTTTGTTTCGGAATTCTGAACTCCAAAACTGGTAGGCGGGTATGGTAGCGCTGTGAAGTTCGTCAAACTCTCTTAACTCTAGCGCGGGAGACCAGGGCGGAGGCGCGGCTTGCTGTGCTTGCTGCGGAACTATAGCTGACTCTATCGCGGCTTCTGCTGTTGTTGACCACCCACCCAGTGAAGATGTTGATATTGATTCTACAAATACAAATTTATTTTAGTACGGTGTTCATTAAAAGCTCACTGCGCTTTGCAAACAAACCTAAATACGAGAGCAAGTATTTTTTGTTTACCATCAGAAGGCGATGACGTTGATAAAACATCTCTGATCCCTTGTGCGTGTGTTACTGCTTTTACATCTTGTACGAGAATACAATTTGAATTGTCTATATTACTTTTAATTGACGATAATGCTGCAACAAAAGAAAAACACATTTTATTTATCAGTTTTCTAATATAGGTAGAATAGATTAAACTTTGATCGAGTTCAATTGAGCTTAAAATTAAACGATTACTAATCATTCATAGCATCAAGAAAAAAACGTAGTAAGCGTAAAATCTTTTATGTAATCTGGACTTCCAATTAAGTTGCCGTTAAGTTTGCGTCTTATCGGTGGCCCACATCGATAATGCCCAGTAGCCGAAAACTAATTCTATTAAAGTTCACACGGGTGTCGCTTTGAGCGACATGTATTTCGAAACGCGACACAATTGAAGATGTCGTTTTAGAGGAGTACGAGTGCGGGGTAGGTGACGTGACGTCCCGTCGAGTTTTAATTAAGCGAAGCATGGGCGAAGCGCATTTTCTAGCGGTGTGACTGAGCGATTAGTTCCGCTGCTGCGACCCAGACCGAGCACGTAGGTGGTTCGGCGACACCCAACCACTTTTTTGTCCCGGAGAATGCCGTTGTCTTCTCATTATGCGACAGTTGCCATCGATCGAATCGATCATAGAATACCGCGCTACGCACCTTAATTGGATCATTCTCCACGCTACTACTAAGAGGAGCACGGGCTCCAATAGCACGAGTTTTGTTCTGCCTGATACGATTTACTTTTTATATTGAAAGGATAACTCAGGCGTAAAATAATTCCGTTCAAAAAAGTGAATCAGTAAACCTCGGTAATATTTCCCCCGACTGCGGAGCTCGGCTAAAAACCTTCAAACGGGGCAACCGAATTGCTACGGAATCGTAATGTAAAGAGAATTTATTGTGTACATTTATTAGTTTTGTAAGGAGCACGGAGGCGGCCTGGATTTGCTTTCTAAAGGGGATGTGGTGTTTATTTGTTCCAGAACGCGTGCGCGGCGTGCAGGATGTTCGCGTAATAAGTTACGCGCGCGTTAAAGGCCATATGTCAGTCATTATAGACCTAATTGACATGAGCGATTTGGCACTCGCCTAATTAAGGAGTGAACAAGGAACACATATTTTTGAAGAAATACGATCGCAGCCGGTTATTTGAAGACCATAAATAAGGCAACAACACGTCAACCGAAAATAATTAAACAATTGATGTCACAGTCTAAAAAAAGCTTTTGTGACGGGATTCGTTAGGTTTAAAATGTTGCTGGCTTTTGTGAAAAACGTAAGAGATTTGGTTAATGCAATTTGGGGAGCTGGGCTAGAAAGATAGCAGTGTTTCCATAATTTGTGTGGCTGGCCCAGGGCGGTGTCGAAGCAATTAAGTTATCGTGGCGTTCCCCGTCACTCGACGGTCTGTCCCCAAGATTTAACCACGATAAGATCTCGAATTCTCGATGCGTTGACGCCATTTGGCTATTTACGTTTCGAATTGGACAATTTACATTAACTTCTGTGAGCTGCACTGAGGGTGGATGGATCAACGACAATAACTATTATCGGACCAAGCATCAATAGATAAATGAGCAATTTATATTCAGTGCCAACCATTGCACAAGTAAGTCATTCTTAAATCCAAATGCCAAATTACCATAAGAAGTGAGAAAAGTTTTTCAAACTGCCGTAGAAGTTAATGACATTTTGTTACCTAGTTCTATTACGACAACAAACCTTTTTTGGTGTGTTTATACATTTTCTTGTTCTCTCTTGGTTGTCAACACTGTATTATTTACACGCTATAAATAAGCGGTTAAGTTAAGCGTTCCATAAGTAATGTCTTATATCAAAAGCTTTTATCTGAATCGATTGTCTCGCTAAAACATGTAAATGTTCCATAGCCTATTTCTAAATAAATAAAAGCTGTATCATCATAAACAAAGTCTGTGTTTAGATAAACGAGCATAGATGACGTAATTTCCGCCCACGAAAATGAAATATGGCAATGTGGTAAGTCGCAACTTTTCCCGATGATCCCTCGTAAAATCTATAAATTTTCGACACAGAGCGGCGGCGAGTAGGAAATGGGGGTACTTCGATGGCGAGGCCGGCATGCATGCGACGATTGTGTGCAGATGGACGATGTTTGCTATCTCTACCATTTTTCGAGTTAATACAATTTATTGTAATACGATTCAGCATAGATTGCATCGTGCGATGGGGGAACGAAACTCGTTTGATGGAGTCCCGGGGGATCGGCAGCGACGCGCCGTCGCACTGACTCGGTATTAGTCACGTGATAAATCTTCCCGTTGCTCGTGTGCGTCCCCTATCTCTGTCTATTATTTACGGGATCTCATATGACCGTCCTTGTCGCTTGTTCACATGATCCACATTCGCGGTAGGGTCGAGGTCTTACTTGGCTCATTTTATAAGAAGTGCGGGAAATGTTTGTTGTACGGCGTGTGAAGTGTAAATGTTTATACCATAACTAATCCGCGTAATGAATTTCGAGGGTATATCAAACGTTTTGTGGGTAAACTTTAGCGATTGGAGGAAACTCACCTTAATTAGTTTAAGAAACTTAATATTTTTGTTTGTGAGCTTTTTTCATACTGCCGGCTACAAGTGGTGGTCTAATAAAACTACCTACATTATTATCAGCCAACCGATTTTCATTATATCTATATTTTTTATAGAAACTAAGGCACATAATTTAAAAATAATCTCTATCAAATACAGTTCTTTTGACAGCATTATTATTGCTACAACAGCAGGGCTCAAGTCTGAATGTTATGCTAACCCCAAAAAATGGTCCATTGACAGAAACAAACGAGTGCGGAGACCTCTTCACAAGCGTTAATGCTCGACACTGAGCGGGCTTTAATAAAACATTTGGGGTCCTCACGATTTCAATTACATTAAAAAGTCGGCGCTATGTTGCCCCCATCAATCGAGCACTATGCACGTAATGAAGGGTGCAACAGATGGTCCACATTTTTTCATTACAGCACTAAAACTACGCGCGCAGACCAGGAGATTTATGTCGGATTAAAATACAAAACTGCCTTTTATTCGGCACACATCCGAAACACCAGGAGGCGTGTCCAACAAATATTTTATTGTGTTTCTGAAACCCAATCATTACAGGACAAAACTTGTTTGATTTATTGTTGTGAGCGGAACGCAATGAGTTAGTTTTTATTGAAACATTCATTTAATTAGGATTTAGTTTCTTGCTTCCCCCATGTTTTAAAGTTATGGGAGTTCAACGAAATGATTGATTTAAATGATTCTTATGGTAATGTGGTCATTTAGAAGCGATAGTTCATTCAGAGAAAATCTTATTCCGTTTAGTCTGTCGATGGCGGCATCAGTATGCGACATTCGCCTCTTATCTACTGTCCCTGTAATTTAACGGGAATCTAAATGAACCGAGATCCGATACGATAAACCTTATTGACTTGAAACACCTTACACCGAGCCGGTTCATTACATTACTTTTAAACGCGTTGAAATGTGAGAAATTTATTTTAGTTCCACTGGTATACTCCTACACATCATGGGTTTCACAGAAATAGTAGTGATTTGTAATACTTAATACGGTGTAATAAAAACTAATCAAAAACGAGTTCTACCAGGTTCTACCGCTTTTTATTTCTGTTTGACAGCGACTTGCCGAAATTAGTGAAGTAGTTATTCTGACATCGCATAGCGTGCTGGAAGCACATTATTTAGTGTGTTGGAACTGTTTAATAGAGCTGTGGGTGAAGTTAAATTAAACGGCAGCAGTTAAACCATCACTAGGGATAGGAGGTCTTTTGAAGAAAAACAGAAACTTGTTAATTGACTTGAACTTAGTAACCATGGGACGAAAATCTCTTAACATGTAGAGACGCATTACTCGTATACTGCGTTACCCACAATTACACAATTTGATTAGTTAATTTGGTTGTCTGTATGACTCTACCTATAATAAACTTGTGTATTGTAACTTTAGGATGTTACGATACCTTGTCATCAATCATACCATTCAATTCGTAATATCAATCTTAGCATGAAAGCGTTGAAAGAAGAAAAAATCGGATCAAATTTTTGCCAATTGTATTGTAGAGCTTCTTCACTAGAAAATAAATTATGTTAAACAAAAGTTTTAAAGACTTAGAAGAGCAGACGCTATATCCGAAGTAGGTCGTAGGTAGCGCTATGGCAGTGGCCCGAATCACCTTTGATGCTATTTTTGCTGTGATATACTATACGTTGTCTGTCTGCGGTCTGCAGTTTTATCGCCATTCTCGCTCGCGGCCGATTGTTGGAAATCCTAAAATTAAACAAACTACTCCTAAGATAAAAGCATCGTCCGGTGCACAGAGCGAGCAGATACTTGATTATTCCCAGCATTATGTTACTCACTTTTATGCGACGTCTACTAAGTGAACCCGCTGTCATGTTGTTTACGTCGTTCCGTGTGTTTCCGCCGTTAGCGAGAAATGCTTTTGGTACATATTTACACAGCTCAACGCAACTATTCTGTAGTTGTGGCAACGTGCAATTCCGTTAGAAATAACCGCGGCATTGTTTTAGTCCAAGAATGGTTTAGTAATTTGGCTTAAATCGACTCAGACCCGTGGATTTATTTTGCAATTTATGAAGCATTAGGAATGCGTAAATTATGATCGGTCGTTTGGCGGGTAGGCCGGGATTGCGCGAGTCTGATATATTATCCATAGTAAAATAATACGGGACGTAGAAGTGTATGATAATTTATAACGGGCGAACACGGGCGCTCGGCACGCGGCGCGTTGCCTTGGGTTAGGCGCATCATTTATATTTTCCTATGTTTGTTTAGTTTTTATGAGCCTCTCTGTGGACGCCGCGATTCAAACAAAGAACGGTGAAAGACTAATGGTTGATGTCTGTTTCCGTTGCCACATCCATGTTTAATCAACTCATTTGCATGCCGGAGTGGATATTGGAATTTATCACCATCAGTAATTGAGTTTCGATGTGATGATGGAAATGATATATTTGTATTAAGACTTAGTTGTAAAACCATAAATGAATAAACTTTTATAGGCGCTATGTGGCTAATCTTTTAGCGTTTCGAAGAACAACCGTTATTATAAAGTATAATTTTGATAGTTGGACTCATTGAAAAAAGGTTGCTGGGAGCGTAGCTAGCTCGTAAATAATAGTCCAGTATGAATAATTGGAATTCACTGATTGTTGCTACTGTTTTCAAATTGTAGCTCGAGGCTTAAGTCTGACTTAAAGGTTAAATGTTTCGCTTGCAACCAATCATACGAGACAAGACTGCCCCTAATTGGAGGGAGAGTCCATCGCTCCGGGCAGCGCTGGTGGGGGGAGCTCACAGATACAGACGGCCCGCGATTTTTCATCTCGCAATCAGCGGGGGAATAGCGATCTACTTTAATAAGTGAGAGGATCACGGAGCGATAATTTTCTGACGTTTTAGACGAAGACATAAATTGTTTCATGACTGCGTTTACTCTCCCGCTACGAAAGGATATCCTATTATACCAGTATTATTTTTAAATAAGAAACGTGTTGTAAAGAAAAAGTTTGCAATTATTTATGCTTCTTTGGGAGCGTCAACGGCATTCACTATGGTGTATGGACCGTGAGCCACTAATGGATTGGATTGAGCAAGAATAATGTTATGAATATTTTAATCGGCATTCCGTGCTAGTTAATAAAAATACTGCCTTAACGAGAGCCCCGAACACCCCGCTGGGTTTTTATGAACAAAGATATATCGACATTATAACTTGTACTTAAAAAGTTTCAATACTTAATCGATTGTCTCTGCTTTTGTCTTTATTATAGCTGTATTTTTTATCGAAAGTTTATTGGAGGTTGGGGCACGTCTCGTTATAAGTAATGGTTGAATTTTAGTGTCTGTGCACCTTTTTCATTAACGGTCTATGTAGAAGCTGTAACATTTTACGAGCATATCGTCGTAACATAGTAGGTATATGGAATATAGAGTTACCGACAAAATATTTTTACTTTGTGATTACGATGATCATGCCCAAAGCAGGTTTTATTTTTATTGCGACTACCTATTATGTCTTTATAGTTTATAATATGTACGTATAATTACCTAGCCTCTGTATTGTGAGCTATACATTTTATTGTTTTTAGCCTTCTACAGTTTCCTTACATGTACAGTATAGGACATGATAAAATGCTTTATCTATGTGGATAATTATACGTAAATTTGAAAAGGTATGACAATAACGTAAACATTACTTTGTATAATAGAGAAGGTAGAAACTTCAGTGTCACAAAATGTTGACTCTAGGTTTATACATTTTCGATATTTTATGCTGATTAGTAGTAACTTAGCATCTTATCTGGCTACAATAGGGCAATAATGCAACAACAATAAGTAACTTACGTATATTAAAATTTACGTAAGTACTGTGTGTTTTTAGGGCGGTTCCCGCAGAAGTACATCTGCTTGTTCTGGCTATTGGACAACTTGTGAATTACCTACCTACCTACGTAAAATTTCCCGCCTTAGGCAGTTCGATTTTTTCAAGTTATTTATAATTTTCAAATACGTAAAATTTGTTAATTTCTCATGTGAGTGTTTTAATGAGAAATAAATGTTCTTTAAACCTAAGTAGATTGAAGTTGATAGATGGACTTACCTATAAAATACGCGAGCATCGCCGCTAAGATGACACAGAGGCATATCATGGCAATCGCTAGGCATTTCCACGTGCAGCGGTGCTGACACCGCTTGTCAATGTGGAAGCGGGAGGGGGAGTAGACGGGCACCGGGCTGGGCTGGCTGGCCCGCAGCGGGAACACCGGCATCACCAGCGGCTGGTTGGCCAGCTGGCAGTGGCCGCTGCCGAGCGTGCCGCCGCCCATGCCGCTCGACATCGCCGCGCTGCCCAGTCTGCGGACAAAGATAGATAATGTTAGCATTTTTAGCAAGCAAGTTAGCTAGTTTTTGTTCTGGTACCTTGAATAATGACGTCATAATAATAGAAATGTAGTTATGAAAGAACATCGGTAGCAAAAAAGCTCCCCGAAATATAGCAATTTTGGATTCCCAATAAAGCTCGGTACAAATAACCGCTCATAAGATGAATTTATTTTCAGTAAGTTGGCTTTAAATGGCACTTTTACACTTTGTAAGTATGTGGACATGTGCTAAGAAGAAGCAGCGCAAGAAACTGTCACTACTTTCAGCATATTATTTTTCAAAATTTTACAAGTTGTAAAATGTATTGGCGAAAGTTAGACAATTTCAATTACACATTTTTTTACCAATTATGATGTTTCGTTTACTCAGAGTCAGAAGATACCTATGTTTTTATAACTTAGTCCTAAATAGGTCTTAGATTAGGTATTCTTACAAAAATAAAAGAAGTTGCCAGCAATAAGCGGAAACTTCGGCGATCTATGATGTGTTTATTATTACGACTGGCAATCTTTAACGCACTTCCAAACAGTTTTACTACCCACCGCTCGTATTCAGCTATCGAGCCATCGATGTGGAATAAAATTGTTTTCCTCCTCCAAGCTCTTCGGTAAACAAAACAGAAAAATATGTCAAAAGTTTTTTAATTAGCGTAGTCACGACAACTGAGCCCCGACTTTTTAAGTTGTTACTCAATACACGCATTTTGAAAAAAGATTTAGACGTATTTTATGTGTTAACTAGCTGACCCGGCGAACTTCGTACCGCCTTAGCGTAGAGATTTTCTTAATATTTTTTTCCGTAAGAACCATCCTTGGACTTCCACAAACATTTAAAAAAAAGAATTATCGAAATCGGTTCAGCCGTTCACACGTGATGCCGTGACAACGCGAAACGGGTTTCATTTTTATATATATAAGNTATGTGTTAATAGGGAAAAAGGAAGATTAAGTGTCGAATTTGGGAAAGTTTTTCTTCTTGTAGAGAAATGAATTGGGATTATAACTTTGCCAAAATAAGTTATATCGGATTGTAAGAAAAGTTCCTTATCGACCGATGACAGTAATCTTCAAAAGTTTGTTAAAAGAGGACGGAATTTCATAACAAGTAGATCGTAAGATTGTGAGGACATATTAAGAGCGAACATTGTCTTAAAATACAAAATCGACAACATAATCATTTACAAGGCATTGAACAGTAAAATCCGTTATCGAATATTTATTGGTTCTATTAGTAGATAAGATCCGAATCCCAGGTACCTGTCCGCGACAGGTTGTAACGAACCCACCAACTGTTGGCGAAGCGAATCTGTGCCGCGCCATATGGCGAGTTACATAATGCTCAAGACAATCAAAACGTATCATTACAGGGATTTCGACAAAAAACGATCATCGGGGCGTTTAAACACGTCCGTTCCGAGAGGCCATTAATCAATTATCCGAACTTCACTGTCACGACTAAATTTAAAGGCCCGAGCTGGGAACATATGGTGCTTCGGCCGACAGCGCCCACCAACTGACGCCGTAATGACCTCTAGTATAAAGAATACGCAAAAAGAGAGTAGGAATAATTGGACCAAGTTTAGCGAGAACGAAGCGTGACTCCTAAAGGGTTTGTTTCGAGGAGGCTCTCGACTGTAATTTTCTTTTGAATAGCGGCCGAGAAACGTTCGGAGGAAGGACGAATTCATTAAAACGTGTACAGAAATCACAATGCCGGGCCACGCAGACTTTGCTTTAAATTGCTTTAAAAGCGACCGTCGGCCGTCTACAGTTTACTTAATTATTTTCGATTTCTAGGTTTTGAATAACTTTGGTTTTTCTTTCAATATTTATTGATTGATATTTTCAGTAGTTTGAACTTGTAAGGTCTTGGTATGAAAATAATTAATACGTAGATAGATAGCATTATAACTGATCAAGTTTCAAAGTGGATCGATTAAATCGTGTGATCGTATCTGTAATAGGACCAGATATTACTGTAAACGCATTTTTTATTACATGCACTACGGGTAAACTGGTAGAGCTAATACTACACTAAAACAAAGTTACTGTACTATTAACTAGTTATGAAGAAAAGAAGGATATCATCCGGTGTGCCACAGTCGTTACGAGACAAAGCATGACGAGAGTGTTCTGTGTGGCGATTGTTGATTATTATGTCGATCGTTCGTAACTGTACTTCGAATTGATTTTTTAAGTCTATCATCATTATACACAATTTTACTGTTTGTAATCTTGTGTAGGAGCTATTACTGGTCGCAGTGTATCATTTCCGCGCGTTACCGAAATGAGTGCCGCGCGTTCATTACCTGTTTTTGTCGAAGGAAATTTTGTGGTGAAGCAATGAAACGTTGCACAATACCAGCGCTTTTCAGTTTAGGAACGGAAGCGCTGTCTATTTTACGAGCTCAAAACTCGAGCTCTCGAATAAAGGAGAGCCGAAGGAGAAGCGACTAAGACAATTAACGAGGCCGACGACAGTGTTATTGTAGGACAATACTGCGATATTTCAAGCGGCGGACGAGCGTTCGGTGAGATTTTGACAGCCGCCCGTCGTGAGTGAGCTCTTAATGAAGCGGTAAATAATGAGGAGAGGTGTTGCTCCGCGCGAGAGCCGTGTCTAATTAACGCGAGAGAGCCCACAACCAGTTTACACACCGAGCTCATGACACGATCCATTCACGCCATTATTTTGAGTATCCAGAGACACAGCGTATGTCGGTAAACGACCAGCAAGCGAGGGAACGGTGCGATAAAGGAAAAAACATTAGCAGGTAGCTGAAGGCTCGTTAGCTGTTCGCGGACGTTGCATAGTTTTTATCGCGCATCCGTCGGTCACTTCTAGAGTCGCAAGACGACCTCTAACTCGGAAACTGTTTGAAACAAAAAGAATAAGGCTCGGGCACGGGCCGTGAGAACGCGTCTCCTTCGGCGGAGCGCCGTGCCGTCCATTTATCTTGAACAGTCGTGCGGGAATGGACCGGACAGCGATGTGCTTTTATTGCTTCGCCTCCCTAAATATAGGCTTACAGAGGTAACCCAGCGATTCTTTTTAGCCTTAAAATGATTGGACTGATGTATTGAATGCATCGCGCAAAGTGGCATGAGTACCACCTATTACACTGAAGTTAAATTCAAAATGGGAATAAGCTTACGATATTCTTGAAAATGGCTGCTAAAATAGGAGCTTTATTTCAAACTATGTAGGTAAAGTTTGAATGTGAACAGTAAAATAAGTCTAATTAACTTGACAAGGATCATGCCTGCTGAACGCGGACAGTTGTTCAAATTCCATCACACATTGACATTCAAGTCGATGTCCAATATTGGATAGTACCTTACTTTAAGTCAGGAATTTATTTTTTAGACATTGCCAATTCTATGCTGAGCCATTCATAGCCTACTCGCTAGAACAGGTGGCACGTGACCGGTTCTAGCTGGTATGTGGTTGTTTGCATCGTAGGCTCGATGAGTTATGGACGGACGCCATTAATTTTATCAGAAACATCACAACTCTTGTATCAGCTAGCCATTATTTAATTGTACAATGATGGCATGTTTAATATCAAAAAGCCTGATAAGATTGAGTTTAACATGCTAAATTGCATATGATAAAATTAATTATAGTACTTTTCAATATAATTATTACTTGGAGCGTTGGTATCGACGAGAAACTAATCAGTGTGCCTACCATGAGTTTACATTAGGTGTGCTCGCTAGCGACTGCGTAAAAAAATGACATTTAAATGTATGACATATTGTGCAGCGCCCCTAGCGGCTACTTTCAAGAAATAAAATCTTCATAGAATTTTTTGACGTATTCGCTAGCGAGCTCACCTAACGTAAACTCATGGTAGGCACACAGTTTACCTATACTGTTTTGGATTGTAGGTAGAGATTTGTTTCACTATAGAACCCAAGAAGGCTTATATTTTAGCTGTCACCTTTTTAGATATTCCACCGTATGCTTTTTTAACCGTTTTATTTTAAATTTAAAAAGATATAGCCCTTTCAAAAACGTAGGCAGAGTCACTTCATTTTCTTATTGTGGAGCCTTAAACACCCCTTTTACATTCAGCGCGAGGGTCGAAGCGGTCGAAGCGAAGATCTTATCGACTTTATTTAATATACATAACGTTTTGTAATAGTGTTATCGAGTCGGTTTATTTTCAGGTATCTTCGAACTAATTGCTTTGTGGATGAATGGAACAAAGAGATTATCGAGAACCGCCTGCAACATTGAGACAGACTTTCAATGATGATTGTTTCGCATGATTCATATTGAGCACAAATTAAGAATATAAAAGCGCTCGTGTTCAACAATGGAGCATCGGAGAGCCTTTACAAGACCAATAAAGGCACAGCACATTCAAATGTCAAATGAGAAAATGTTGAAAGAATCAAAGCGCCGAGAAAAGTTTATAAGAACGAACAAACAGTTTAGTTGGGTAAATCGATACGAACTTGTATCCCCGGCTTTGAAGACGGTCCCTCGCCGCCGCCCTCCTGCAAGTCATGGGTGTAAATTCAAGAAAGCCCCCCAATTTAAAGCGAAATGTGTAACAATAGCGCCGACTCGCTATGCCAATTTCCTCCCCCAATAAACGCTTCGGTACAAAGAAACGGAATAAAATTATCACTTACAGGGCCGCCTATTATTCGGTGCTGAAGTTAAAAGTGGATCTCCAAATAAAGATCGACGTGAGGATTTGGAATAACATAAACGAATTTAAACAAGTGGCGCTCATGCGTCGGCGGAGCCACGCCTGGAATCTGTCCACTTAAACGGCTGCCTCGCTCGACACCGATCACGCCCAAAGAATTAATTAAAAACATTCATCAAAATGGACTTCTAAATGGGCATCCTCCTCCGTTTAGTTAATCTACGGCTTCATTAATTACATGTTATAGTAATAAAATACGTAATCTATGACAGACGATTAAGTTTACAATCGTTTAGGCCGGTGAAATTCATACATGGAAATTGTTATAGAATGCTATTAATTTCCGCAACGGCCAGCTTTAAATCTCATTAAACGGATAGCGGAGGTAATCTGCGCCAATAAATCCGCATTTTGTGCAGTGCACCGCGGAATGGTGTGCGATTTAAATACGCTAGGCCCGGATTCATTGAACTCGCCACTCTTATTAATAACTCTCATAGCCGATGTTTGTTTTGGTCGTCTCGGTTAGGTAATGCTGAAGTTGATTCATGAATGGAGCGCCCGTGCTGCCCGAAGTACGCGCCCACTCGCGTATATTTAGCGAACATAATTTTCCAAGAAATATGTCACACGACGGAAGTTCTAACATTTGCATTTAACAAGCAAATCTGGATTACATTAACCACTATCTAGTGCTAATTAAAATTCATAAATGGAATAGGAAATCTCGCTGAGGCAGTCTTATGTTGTAGAACACGGAGATAATTAACGCTTTCCTAGAAACAAGATTTCCTAATAAATTAAAGAAGTTTAATTTATTAGGAATTTCCTTGGATTACTAATGTTGTATGTTTGCTATTGAATATCCCAACTCAAATTTTTATCCATCCACTTTATTTTTTTTTCATAAATAATAACGATAGAGCTTAATATTAATCTTATCCCATCCATTCTAAATTATAAAGATGGGCAATATAACAATCTAGATAGCTAATCTAATGCGGTGGCATGGAAGAGCTTACTGCGGCAGCCAGAGCGCTCTAGGCTCTCGGGCGAGTTTATCGCTCGAAATGAATGGAGGCGATAGCGAATAAGCGGCCAATTACACTCGCCGCTAGACTGCGAGGACCCGCACGTAAATAATCGTGCTCACGCGCACTAACCCGATACTGATAAACAATTTTCCATTAGCCGTCGACCGACGCGCGCAGGGAGAAGCACATTTCCAATCTACATACCTAACGGAGAACCCGTATGCGATAGCCTTTATTACGGAGTTTGTCGTTTCAGGATATTATTATGATAATACTCAAGTTATGCAAACTAAGTACTGTAATAACTAAGGGAAATATCTGAGCTGGTTCGAAACCGCTCGACCTTTCCTGGCTTTGATTTGAACGATCGCATATAAAATACAATTTTAACGTCTTTCCATGGAACGGCTCTTATAGAAACGGCCATCTAATTCTACAAATGGAGAGTTGAATATAAAATTTTATGTCGCGCTGAGATAACTATCAATGTGACCCGATTCCTCGAACGCAGGTCCTAAACTAAGCGCTTGGTATTGTTCAGCGAGACGGAAAAACGTTTTCGCAGGAGGCGTCCCACCGCGGGCACTCGTATTTCACCCGGAGTTCAATATTATTTCGACAGTCGCCGCACAAAGAGGCGGAAGGCCCGTGCCGCCGCGGGCTCCTCTCGCGTATCGCTTCACAATATTGTCCTCCCGCCTGCTGCCTCGGGTTACACTGTAAATATTTTTCGGCGGTTGCCTGATTGAAAAATTTTATCGCATTCCACCCCCACCTCTTCCGATAATGGATTGTGTTCGCTTTTAGGCGTACATTGACATGGGTACTGTCTACGAAGTCCCTCGGCCGGCCTGTGTACACAGCGGCATACGGCGCGCCGAGATAGCCGGCTATTACTGCTAATCAAACCGTTTGTACCCCACATATATCATACATACACGCGTTATTGGCAATTACGTTGGTATAATATAACTTGATCCAAATGTTCCAATTTGTTCCAGACTATGCAACGTTACAAAGTGAGCAAGTGATTACGGAATGAGATGCTCACGAGAACTCTAACTCATCTGCCTTTTCATAAGCAACTTTCGAAATATGGTTGCCCGACGGACCGGTTTCAACTAGGGAACTTTTGATGTATTATGATATCATTTTATACTCGGACAGTACGGACGAATGTATGTGCTTTTCAGTTGGAGCAAGCCAAACGAGCGCGAACTTGTTAGAGTAAGGGTTTATGAGTCTGAGGAAGTGTCCGAGACCTGTGCTGTAGCTATACGCTTGTGTATACGGTCCTGGCGCGGGCGGGGACAATATCTCTCTAATTATGTTTGTTTTGGGCGTCCGTGAGGCGTGCGGATTGTCGCTCGGCGCCGTTATTTATACAGTCGAAGATACAAATGAGGATCCATTACTGGATTTCCTCGATCTGAGCCTAATGAAAGACAAATAACTTGGGAGTTCAAAGCGATCGATAAGGGCATTTGCGTTAATTTGGTCGGAGAGATAACTTCGTAACTGGCAGTAGGTATTTATCTTATCTTACACCCAGACGTTCCACAGCTATGAATGAATATTATGAAAAAGAATAGTAAGAGTAATACGAGTATACATTATTAAGTTCCCCGTGCTCTACCATTCGGAATAAAAACAGCATCATAATAAAAACGCCGTAAAAGCAAAGAACAACCGCAAGTAGTACGGCAAGCTATAAATATTAAGCGGTGACAAAATGGCGTGCAGTGTCGGTATGTTCCTAACGGAGTATTTTGAACGGGGGAGTGATGCCGGCTAAGCATATAGGCTATACATTCCAACAACTAAAAGTCGGTGCCATTTTCAACCGTATATTGAGGACAGTAAGCGAGTTGGTTCGCGAATATTTCGTCACAAAGATTTAACATTAGCCCAGAAAACCACTGAGATGAGGGGCGCGAGTCATCCGTTGCACTACATTACCCGTGTCCCGGCGATTCTATGGGACCCCGTTTTGAATTAGAACCGATTGACATTTTCACTCATCTGCATTTTTTGGCTATAACCGACTCTATGATCCGTAAAATTTATTAAACGAATTTCCATGTGTAATATTTTACCAATTTAGCACGCTCAGTTACGATTTTGGAATTATGTCGTGTCATTACAACCCGCAATTTATTGCTTGCCTAAAATATATTAATCAAAATTTCACGCTTTGTTTTTTAATGGATATTCCGATTTGCATGTGGACAATAATACCTACTGTGGAAAGTTTCCAAGTTCTTACACCGAAGTAATTAATTAGGTATCAAGTCTTAATCGCCAGATGAATGCCAAGAAAATTAATACCTGAAAGAAATGGTCTCTCCTAATTTTGTATTCAGAAAGTCAATGATCTACAAATATGCCAGACTCATTAGGGCATTAAGCTTTTAATGTGCTGAGTTGAAACTCTGTGCTTGCATTCACAAAGTGGAAACAGTTCGCGGTAAACATACTTTCAGTTTTCCTATACAATATTAATGGGGGATTCCAGCGCAATCACTCTACGCTTGACCAACCCTCGGGTAATACATCGTTTGCTTGCACTAACCCATTGAATTGCTAAGCGCTGAATATTTACAAGCGTAATGACTGTAACGTTCTCTAATGATCAACGTATTCTATTGGCATTTAACCACTGTGAGAAGATAAACCAGTTGTCAGGAATGAACTATATTATTCAACTATCGATTCTAGGTAATTGGCGTTAGTCGCTTCAGTAGCTTTGCTTCTTGTAGCTTCAGTTTGTAAACTTGGAACAATTGAACCTTCACTAAGATCGGAAAAATTTACATTCAAGTCCTGAATATTAAAATAATTTATATACATTACGAAATGATCAATGAAAAAATATCTCATTTAAATCCATGAGAGAAAAATTACATCATTAAATTAAACCACAAAAATAGATTTAACGCTATTCGAATTTTATTAGATGACATTTTTATTACGGTCCACTGGCAAGTATAGAGCTGTAAATCGAAAGAAGGGCAATCAATGATGATTCTGTAATCTCACAGATCTTCTATATGGTAGGTAAAACAATTAAAATACTTTTTGTAGTTAATTATACATAATGTAGTGTAACATTTAATTAAATGGTGGAAACAAATGTATACGGCTGTCACAAGGTTAATGTGAGTAAGGGCTAGTAATGACAAAATCTACAATCCGTGTATTTCCACATGTTAGGTGTCAACTGGCACATTATTATGTTGTTTTCTTGGTGATCTTCATACTGAACCGCCCACGCGAACACGACGTCTGCGACCGCCTGTCACAAGTCACAGTCATTTTGGTGTGTTACGATTATTTTACAACTGCCGTACTTGTAAAAGTGTATCAGAATCCCTCGGGTCGTAATAATGTTTGATGTACGCTTCGGAGCGTTAACCCTATCAAATCAAAGCGGATTAATGTGTCTCGAGAGTTGTGTGTGTTACTGGTGTCTCTAATTACGTTTATGGTTCGGCTAGAGTTATGGTAATGTTCGGCAGCCCGTAGATGCCGGGCTACGGTGTTGTCGTGTCACTGATACTTACGACTCTGAATTTAGGGTCTGTAGGGCGAGCCATTCGTTAGTCACGCCCGATGACGTGTACCTTGGACAAGACCAAAACTGTTATTAGAAAAGTTTCGTCGTTCTTTTATTTTAAGGTACTCGTCTTAAAAGGTTTTAATAGCTTCAAGTTAAGGAAACATTCCCATTGAACACACCTTTAGAACACAGAAATTCTTTAAATGACAGACATTCGTTTAATCGCAGAAATATGGAGTTGCTTACGAAAAGGACATTCTTACATTGCCCTCGTGTCTCTTCCCTTAGTTGCACATTGCGGCAAAATGCATGAGTTTCCGGACACAAACAAAGGCACTCGGCACGCAAAGCCTGCAGTACCGCGAAGCCCTAAAGGGTAAAAAGAAAAGGCGTTTCGTGGTAAAAAGTGAGTTAGGGCGAAGCTTTGTTTGTGTATGGCGCGAGTTAAGTGTTTAGATAAGTGCAGCTGAGAGCGGCATGCGCGTTTGTTATCGCTCGGAGAGCTAGGAGCCAGACAAATGGAGCCACCCTGTGTGGTCCACTGTTGGTCCACTCTCTCCAAATATGTGCACTCCCAAGAAACTCACCTAATATAAGAGCGGACTTTGAACCACTTACAGCGAAAACTATTTACAATTTTAGTAGAGCAAAATGTTAGAGCTAGAGTGGAGGAAAACTCAACAATGGTTAATGAATTCTATGAAAGGCTTGGGTTAATGATTTTTTTTGTTTGGTTAAAAGCTATTTTATTTACGTTTTTTTCATGTGTAGATAGTTGTTGTCATTAATTTCCGATTTATGAAGTGCTTATTGCTAACATTGATATATTATAGCATGATAGCGTGACCTAGGTCATCATTGAATTCGTTTAATAGTTAATTTATTATTGAAGCAATTCATCAATCGGGAAATTATTTCGTATCGATATCGAATATTTATAGTAAAACGAAGCGGACTGTGCTCCTGAATTATAAAACATTCAAATTCAAATAAGGAGAGAAATAAATCCACGCGAGGAAACGTCGACATTACATATTACTGCGGGAATGCCAGGCGCCTATTCATTACAGTTATTTATAGGAGGTAGTGTCAAAGCGAGGTTTGTATTTATTCGGACGGCACGGCAGTTTGTTTATTTTTAAAACGGGTTAGGCTAAATACCCTTTCGATAAGCGACCAGTGAACTGAGCCGTGTGCCGTCAAAATAGTCGTGATCAACCGTCTGCGCCGGCGCGGCTCGGTGCTGCCCGCGTCACTGTCATACTGTCACGGATCCAATATGCGCTGTCTCTGAGATGACGGAATATTGGATTCTAATAATAGACTTTCATCATTACCCAAATATGCGTTCAATGAACTCTCTAACGGTTGCATCTTCTCTACAACTTTGAATATAAATGGGTTTTCATAAACATTAGGTACGAGCACAATACAAACACAATGCTCAATCTTCAGTATAATTTGAATCCTCAAATAATATCAGTTATTATATCAACGCGACGGATGACACAAATAGTATCTTCCGAAGGCGAACTGCCGGAAAACAATTTCCAATAGCAGCATTTAGAATAGGCACATAGAGTCGGACTTAATCAATATTGAAAGGAGACAATGGGCATCTCTTATTCAAAACGGAAACTATTACAGCTTTGCCATTGTATTCGGAGCCTCACCTCGATGAGACATTATTCAAAAGAAGAGTGGTTTGTTTACAAACGTTAGGAGATAAGTATTAGGAGTCGTCGACACAAGATTACGGGTGCGCGACAGTAACTCTGGCTCGAGTTGGATGCCGATCGATGTCAACGTGAAAGATTTATGTCGAGCTTGGTGACAGAATTTCGTTTTAGATGCACCTGGATTATCCTTTGCAGTGAATAGTAAACAAACTCTTTTAAGATAAGGCATCTCATAATGTAAGTTGCTAGACCTAAGTTTAGACTAGTCCTCTCTCACCACTAATATTGCAATACCCATTAACGGGTTATTAAGTTATAAGCTCATTGTTTAGATTAAGACCCAATTGTAAACACTTAATATGCAATAAAAAATTTGAATTTGAATTTGAATTTGAAATGCACTGACATACATTATTGATGGGCTCTGTGGTCGACCTGATAAAGTCTAAATAAACAGCCCGCTCGAATAGCAGTGTGGGTTTTATTGTTTGAAATATCTCTTTAAATTATTCTCACACGATCCAATAACTACATCTGCATTGCGTTGCGGGGATATATTGGTAGAAATTGGTGATAGTGACTTGGCATATTTTATCTCATTTTGAATCTTTCAACTCCCAACACTAATAAAACAAATTAAGTTTTCAAATCGATGTCAGTCAAATGATCAATGTAATTATGTATTAAACACAACATGACCATATTGACCATACGTCGGAATGAAGATGTACGTACGTACATACATTAAATTGAAGACTTATGAATTGAGTGTTCCATTTGTGCCAGACAATGAAACGTGCGATGTTGTACTGATGGCTGATGACACAGAGTAATTGGTTCGTTTGATCGAGCCAATTATAACCGATTGAGTAGCAAGATTTAGTTTAATGAAATGATTGTATGGACATTATACATTAGGTTACAGGCAGATAATTGAACTTCCTGCGGCGGGCTACGATTGGTTTGAAGTGAGCGCCGAAGCCGATGCTGCGCAGTGCCCCTTTCATAGCACAAGAGGACATGTGGTGCTGACTCGATGAGGCATTTCCTCTAATTATATGGGCTATTAATAAGACGCTCAATTTGTTATCGGCTGTATTTTATTGACTTTGAAAACGGTTCAAAGCCAAGTTTAATCTACGAAGCCGTGAATGGAAATTATTCGAAGATTGACGAATATTTCTAATGCCGTATAATTTTTACTTTTTGAGATTCACGGGTTACTATAATTAAATTGACGTACAAAAAAGTTTCAAGTAGGTACTCGTATGTAAGCGTCCGTTAAATGCCTCTATGTTTAACTCAACAAAGGAGAACGAAGAATGTTTCTTGTCAAGTACAGTTTACTTTTAACCGCTCGTCGTTCCAGTTAAATGGTTTTTGTTTATTTGACCCCATCGTGCAGTATCTGAATGCATAAATTAATTAGTAGATATGGCTTATGCGAATTGGATGTTGAACAAAGCGAAACTCTGCAGGAGAACGTTTGCTTTGGCAACGATCGTCTAAACGCTATTAACAAAGTTGCCAGTTTGAGTTGGAGTTTGATGGGTGAACGGTGTTTGCGTTGTCCGGGACGTATGGAAATCATTTCTTGCTCGGGTGAACTTCCCGGCTCCATATACGGACAAATATTTGCTGTCAGTCTGAAACTGTCTTGCACGGCTTGGTGATCGTGTCTCTGTACACGATTGCCGCATTTGCGCTGATTACCCCGCGCAGCCAATTACAGACTTGCGACTGGATTCCAATTTAAAAGTTTGTTTGCTCTATCGAGTACCTAATACATTATGGATGGGCACACACAGCTTTTGAGGTTGACTGACGTGTTTGTTTTAGACTGTGGGAGTAGCTTTAACTGCATATTTTGCATTTTTTATGGTATCACAAGATTGTATGATATGATGTTAAAAAATTGAAGAAGGTACTATTTTGGTATAGATTACAATCTGTCGGTAATTTCCCACGACCGCTGACCATGAAAAATGAATCAATTATATCAAGTCGAAACTGTTTATGTTGATGACTCGTCGATGGTCATCGTTAATTGCGCAAGCGTCGCTCGGGGTTGTTACCTTTATAATGGCAGTTTCCTCCTCTGAGCGTGTCGGGCTGGGCGCGAGGGGCGCCCCACGATGCTATCTGTTCTCCATTGTTGCGTGCACTTAACCGACATATAGTTGCCTTGTCCGGCTCTTGTTAACACATTGTATAGGAAATTACATTCTTTACTCACCGCTAACTCAAATAGCAATTCCGTTATAGATCACCGCTCGAGCATATCAAATTGTTACCATTAGACGACCCGACGATAACATGAGGCTATTAAGCAAACTAATACTGCTATTAACGAATTCAGTATTACAAAGTAAACAAAACAAGACCAAAACGTACACGAATATGCAAAACAAGCTTTCGGCAAAGGACCCGAAGCTATTGACAAAATAAATCAAAGCTATGCATATTGAATATCATTATATACTTCCTTTCCGTAATGGTATGGCCATTTTGTACTGATATTGCAATATTAATAGTTGGGATTCGCTCTCGAATCTGTCGAAATTAAGTTGAGCGGCGATTGGGGTGGCGCAGATGGCAGTAACGGCCCCGCCCGCGGCGAACGTGTGCCAAGTATAAAAATATGATTTATGGCGAAGCATATAGAAAGAGCATCCGCACGGATTCTATCTAGTTCGCGAGCCATTAGCACACACATCTGCATTCAACTAGTACTCGGAAAAACTATTAATTCTTTCTTATTCCTCGAACTCTACTCTTTACTCCCTAAGGAAGATCCGGAGAGCTTTCGAATTAGTTCTGTACTTTAATAATGTTCGGTGGTCTTCCGAGGTTTGGAAGGGCTGTACTCGTACACTGCCATGTTTATGAAGCCTTGCAATATGAAATAGATGTTTTCTGGCTCCAGGCTCTTTGTTATTACTTCGAGAGTAGCGCGAGGGGCGGCGAACAGTTGGGGTCGGTAAGTAAACAAGTGCTGCCGACTGATTCAACTAGTCAATTCAATTGAGTATTTTCCTCATATCTTTCAGATTCATTTTGTTATACTTCCGCTCGTATATTGTTTGTCCGCAAATAGCCTATTGTCAAGTAATAATATTGAAAACTTTTGCCGTTTACCTTGTACGTTAATCTTGAGATAATCTTTTATTTCTTTTGTGATCTTTTTCGCACAAATCTTTTGCTCGTGTCGGATGTTTAATCACTTTTTGTAATTGAAAAGTTAAAGGGTTTTCAGGAGTCTCAATTTATGTTATGGAAGTTCTTTAAAGCCATATAGGATCTTTTCTCTTTGATATTTAATCATTAATTGCTTGTAATCGGAAATAAAACCAAAGGGCTCGACATTAATTTATATGCCTATGAGAAAGCTTTGAACGGCGCTGTGGTGTTTGGCATATTTTCCGGGTGATTATACACGCTTGTTCCGCGGTGAGCTTTCGATGTAGTCGGCTTTATCAAAGCTCAGTAATTTATGTGCGCCGTCGGCTCAACTGTTTGAGCTTTATCTCGCCGCTGCTGAATGTTTCTGTGTTTGATAATGTCTATTATAATTAAATTTATCTTTTGTCGTTTGTTTTCTCTTTTTAGATAAGATTCTCTGTGTCTTATCGGTGATGCTAGACAGTTAATATTTGTTGCTGGACACCTCTTGACTATAACTGACCTCTGCGTCCGTTACGTCGCGTTGATAGCGTGGGAAATACTCGTGCACTACTGGTTAATTAACTATGATAAGCTATAAATACTGTTATTAATTACTGATAAATAGAAATTATAGTAACCTTATCAATTTAAATGTAATTGAAAATAAACAGCATAAAATCTTATTAGAAATTAGGTTTCATTCGATTGAACGGGTTAGTTCGATTGATGACTTACATGGTGTTCGATGTGTTAGTACAAGCATAGGGTCCTGTGTTGACTTACCTAGGGTCCACGAAGGGCTCCGCGTAGATGTTCCGGACGGGCTGGCGGCGTGGCAGCGGCGGGGGCACCGGGCTGAAGCCCTCCATCATCTCGTCCCGCTCGCTGTACTTCAGCGACTTCATCGTCATCCTGCTGCTCCTCGGTACTACAGTCCACTTCACAAACTCTCCGGGCGCAACATCACTTAAACGTTAGCTTTCGTCACTTACATCGTTACTAACACTATTATACATTTTCACTGAGTTTATTGATTGATCGTTGACATTTCCGTGCACTATCTTATTTGGTTCTGGAAGAGACGTGTTTGTTTGTGTCGGGGTACGGTACGGGATACGCGTGACGCAGCACAGCGCAACCGTGCGGGCCGAGTGAGCGCGGTTGACTGTTGCGCTGCGCTCGTATCCCGCGCCCCGGCCCTCAACTAGAGACCTTACACCCGAGCTTTTGTCGTTTTTTGCGCCCGCGCCGAGGTGCCATCAAAGCTTGCTGAGTTATTAGAACAGGACAAAAAACTCTACAAGGACCACATAGTGCATGGAGCTGGCGCAACCGAACGTGAAGTCGGACGGTGCACGTGATGCGGTTAAATTTTTCATTGTGTTTTTATAAGAACGACTGTTGTGAAGTGTGAATAACAGTTTTTTTTTTATAAAATCGCGGGGTGTCCTTTAAGATTAGCCGCCTGTGTATTGCTAAATGCCTTTTCAAGATTTTTTTTACTAAGATTTATGATCAAAATATTATTATTTTCTTAGGTTCCTAACTAATAAGTGTTTGTAAAAAATAAAACTTTGTTTTGACCAATTTAGATGGATGATTCATACTACCAGTTATATCGATAGGTAGGTTGATATTACTACGAGTATAAGACAAGATTAAAGACTACATAATTTATACAAGACAAGATTTTCGAATCTTAACCACGATGCGAATAAAATTACGGGCTCGGACACGATACATTTAATCTCTAACTAAATTACTTGGGGTGATTTCGCTTATTACGGTTGAACCTGAAGCCATGTTAAAGAAACGCAAGGTAAAACTGCAAATAATTGGAGTTCAGACAAGAAAGGAGAAAGCATTTAATCGATACGATTATCGAAGGATGAGGGTCGGGTCGGCCGAGCACGGGGTTTCTACGAATTACGAATGGGGGTAAGTGCTGGTTCACATGGAAGAATTTCCTTCAGAATAGCACCAAATTTTCGAAGCAGACTTGTATATTACACATTGCAACGAACATATTACTACTACATGCGCTTTGTACAGCGCGGTAAAACCCGAGTTATATGCAAATAATAAGATCTAGATGGATATATTATGCGGAACGTTCGTGTATGGCAGTGATAGTTCAAAGACCGTCGTCCCCCTGCTGCGAGCGGCTGCCTGGTTGATCTCACTGCTTTGCATGTCAAACAATTACCCCAATACACATTGTTCACGACAAATACGAGAGGCGTACACACAGTAACCTTTTTTGTTCTCTAAAATATTTGTTTTCAAAACTCGTTACCCTTTGCTCAAATTTTATTTACGATCGCCGAAATTGTGTTGCGAGCGTGATTTATTGAATGTTTACTAATTTAACGGCGCCGCTCCTGTGTGACCAGCACACAAAAAGTGACTTGGCAAAGGCGCGCGTCGAATAGAAAGGACCGCGCCGAAATTATGTAAAAACCTGTCCTATGGGCCTGAATTATCCCGCAAGGATAAGGAATAAGAATATAAAAGAGGCTTAGAGTTTTCCATACGGCTTTTTGAAGAAGCAACGAACGCGAGATTTACATACATACATGTGGGTAAACATGCTCGTTGCCGAAGTGTCTCCGAGTACCTGTATAATAAATTGATTTAAGCGCCTCCTGACAGGTTTAAGTATGTTTTGACAAACATTAGGGAATTTAAAGCCCCTGTGACAAAACTTTGTTTTGTGTCTCTCAAGTGACGTCTATCGCAGACACGAAGTGAATTTTCGTCGAGTTAGGACGAAACTCGCTTTGTGAACGAACTTCTTTTTGAGGACGAACTTAAACGTGGATCATTTGAATAAGTAATCGCCGTACTTAATGCGAGTACAGTTTGATGAGACCGTTCCGTGCTAACTTTCATATTGATAGAGTTATCGAATGTTAAGATGATTCTTTTACAAAAAAAATTCATATGTAAGCTACTTAAGCTAATCCTTATTTTAAAAAGATAACTTATCTTTTTGTTACATCTTTAAATGCGCCAGACAAGTATTTACCATGACAAAAAGTGTAAAAGCAATATTTATTGCAAACTTATAGGACGAGGTTCAATAATATTGTATAGGTAACAATACAGGACAATGTTAAGTCTTGCACTTTATAAGACTTGCAAGTTACATAAATCGAGTTTTGAATGTCAGTAAATTGTTAATCTTCGTTACTGCAGCTAAATCGTTTGATAACGTTAAAGAGCTTTTCACTGAAACTGCTTACTATTCATGTGTCATTTCTCTATTGGACAGTAAAAGCAAAATCCATAACGTGTCGCAGTATCGCCCACGTAATCGTCTAATATTTTAAGGAATGAGCTATTTACGACTTTGGAGGCATTCGATTGTTGCTCAGATAGTAAATTCGAAGCCACAAGGGATCACAGAGAGCAAGTAATGTACGTGCGTGTACACGACCGATGCATATACGGCGAGTAGGAAGCGCATCGTAAGATCGTTTCCCATGGCACAGACGCTGAGTGATGTATTTCTGACCGGATTGATGTATAGTGCAGGTTGTTCTTGCACTTGAACTTGTAGCATTTACGCTCGCTCTGGGCTCGTAACGTACTGACTCTATGGATGCTTTGTACAGCTATCTGTTTCATGTACCTAGGCGTGCAACAGTTTCTGATCTCACATACACTTAAATCTTAAGCTTCCAAGTCCGATTTACGCTACTTAATCGCATAAAATAGAACAATTACTGTGTTGTTTACACTTTATGAGCATTGTTGCCTGTTTAAGAGCAGTTGACTAATAAACACGTTTTAGTCGGTGTATTTACATAGACATTAACAAGGCGCCCGTTCGTTACAGCCGTATTAATCTCCGCTCCTGGCCCAAATAAATTTCGACATCCGTCAGCTACTAGTAGGCCGCCCTACAAAGAACGCTCAGCTATTTTAATTGGCGTAGCATTTTAAAAATCTTGTACAAAAAATGTCACCGACTTAGTTTGTAGAATATGCAACTTGAAACGATGTGACGACGACGACGAGGAACTTAGATCGTTTTCAAATTAATTTCAAAGTAAAAACGTAAACCAAAATTAATAAAGTTTAATACTCTGGTATGAATAATTTCCCAGAAATGACGTAGACGGGACGTTGAGGATAAGTTTCGCTAAGTTGTAGTTCCGTCGATCGTTGTTCGTTCGTCCCAACCAAAACAATTTACGTAAGCAATTAACTGACGGAATCGAGCTTTCATTAAATGTTCCGTAAGTTTTGCTAGTGCGAACAAGTTGTGTAAGAGTAAAGAAATTAAGATTAATTAACGTATGGGCGTTTGTTCGCGTTCGTTAGCAGCCCTAGCGGTGCATGAGTGTGCGCGTGTGTATGTGGAGCACGTTTCATAAGATAAAAGACGATATTGATTCCGTGACGAGCCAAGAGCGGGCTGTGGGAAACGATTCCTGCACGTTTAATAGATGCCCCGAGGAAACGGGCACATCAGCACTCTTTGTTCGACGTTCTAAGAAAAATCATTAAAAACACTCTTTTAGGGGAGGATCTCGAGGCTCGAATTATACGGAGTTGCGGTTTCAGTTTAAGTTGCGCGACTCGTTGAATTTGTAACGTGTATATTAAGTTTCCGAGTGTAATTAACGAGTTAAGGGTACCATAGCGGGGACTTTATTCCTAGTTTAGCGACGGTGGCCGCAGGACGGGCCGCATTCCCGCCGGGTAATTACGCACGCCCGTCTCGTTCCCAGCCGCAGCTCTAACATTTTATGCCTCATTTCGTACTGTATGATTTGCTGCACACAATATTTACTGTAATTATCGTGGGAGCAATCTACGTTCGCGTGCGAATCGAATTCGCGCGTTGAACTTCGATGACAGGTATTGTTTTGGTCGCGAAGCGTTGACTGGAAAAGTGGCAATTATGACGTTGGTAGTGTGATTTCCATGTCCAAGTCAGAACATTGCATAATTTGAACTTTATCAATAAGAACCGGTTTAAGAATTGTTTGTATTCACAAACATATTTTTTTTTGTTGAAGGAAAATGTCTAGATAGTTATGTGAGAAAAGCTCTGGAAAAAACTAATGACCGTATAGTAGTCTTGGTGACACACCTAAAGCTCTACTCAAGGAAATCTATGTAGCATCAACTCCTGCAAGATGTATCTCCCTAAAACATAAAAGACTACGTGTGCACTGTTAGGCACCTGAAAACATTTAAAAAAAAGTATTCGAACGAACGGCGATATAAACTCTACCTACTATTTCTTATATGTAGTCAATCATAACACTGGTTGGTTAGTTATTAACACGTTTAGTGCTTTCTCAAAACTAGATTCTAGAGTCTAGAATCTAGACGAACTGCTCTCCAGTTTTAGTAGGTACTTTAAATGTCACATAAAATTGCCATTTTAATAAAGCTGACTTTAACTAAATAAATTATTTAATTACAGAAAAATACAGTGCAATGCCAGATAAAAGCATTCTCCTTGGAATACCAGTTTACAACCTCAATATTTTTCCTTCATGGAAATGCATTTTTTTATTTCTTGGCTATTTGGGTACATTAAACCCATGGCCATGTATAAAAATAGTTATATTCAGCAGATAAGTAATGCGGGTTTGGGATGCGGAAAGTAAAAAGCGTCTCTACAGCTTTCCTTCACGTCTTTATGTAAAATCGATGCGCACCTCGCTTTAATCGGATATTATTTTTTATAACTTCCTCGACAAATGTCGCTGAAATACAGATAAAAACAGAATAATATCAAAGCCGTGTGCTACCGAGAATCACCTTTCCAATAGTGAGAAAGCAGTTCTGGGAATGTTATTTTATAATGCTCTCGGTTTACTAGTAAATACGTTTTCTGAAATAACCTGACATTTGTCTTCGGGATAGTACCTACATCAGTTTTGTTGTAATAATGAACATAATTGATGATCAAATAATCAGTCAGCGTTTCTACAAATATAGCAGCGGAAGAGTGGAAATAGCAAACGTGGTTGTCATTCTTGCGGCTGCGATATACAGCATATTCGTGCGCTATATTTTAGAAGTGGAGATCAAACGTTTCTGAGTTAGTGTGGATGATTAGACCCGACAGGCCGGCCGGCGGCCGCGGCTCCGTCACAACAAGTCTTCGCGAAACACGCCCCGAGATAAAAGCGACTCGTAGCTTTTTA